GGAGATAATTTTGCTGTAACGTTTACATAACATGTTAGCCTACGTATTTTAGTCTGTATTTTGACTGTCACCGACTGACATCTCTTGTCTTTTACATCTTTACCGGTGTAATGCCTGTTTGTCGCTTTTTAATCAACCCATGCATAGGTGATTCTTGTTGCATGTTTTCGTGCTATCATTGCAGGGGACTAATACGTATTCGAATTTAAATAAAGTTTTAGTGGCACTAAAGCTCCTTGTGAAAGAGTTCGTCTAGGGAAGTACTGCCACCTTACCTATTTCTGACGTCAAGCAGTAACGTGAGCATTGCTATGTTTCACTTTGGAGGAGTGTAATAGGTTATGGTAAAATTACATACACATGGGACTTCTCAACTTTACGTTTCAAGGCAGTGCTCCTCAGTTCTTTGACTTTAAAGCTCTGAGTGCTCTGAGCGGACATACGTGCCGCTTACCAACAGGCGCACGACTTGTTCGTTCAACCACTTGATATCATAATAAAAATAGATTTGGAAATAATAAACAGAACCGTTTCCTAGTAAATATTTCAAATATTTTTTATGTCGATACAATTCCAACAATAGTTAATTATGTCAACTGAGATTATCAAAATTTTTTTTAACCAAACAAAATTGCTGAAGAGAGAGAAGTTAAAACGTTGGAATATGGCGCACTGGTGTGGACATAGGACTGAATGAGTCTTATGGCAATTTATATTGCAAACGCTTGACGCAAGACGAATTGAAAGTTGAAGACGCAAAACGAACATGAAAGCGCACTGGTATGACATAGCTATACACGTACGGGTTTCATGCGTCTTTGTTAACAAAAGCTGCAAGATGCAATAGTCTTCTATGTTGAAAAATTTACATGCACATTGCGATGGAAATACAGTACTACTGAAGTACACATTCGGTTGATTTTGACAAAATAGACTTTCATATACTAACGGGGAGTACCTCACGCCGATTAAAGATAAAGATAAAGATAAAGATAAATTTATTTCTGTATAAAATATTAACCTAAATACATACATAAATCTTATTAAATAACCTATTATTTACATATATGCGCCAAATTGTCGCAAACAATGAAATTATTTTATGTTTACATTACTTTAATTAAGGTTAGTAGTGCAAATTAATCTAGGTGATATCTAAACTAAGTAAAATTGTTTACTTGTGTCTTAGGTATCTAAATTGGTGAGTGTAACATAACGGTTAGTCAACATATTTTGTTCAATAACAATAAATTACAATAATACATAAATCTTAATTATAATAGCTGGCGTCTTAATTATATTTATATTACTTAAAAACTGATATAAAATTTTCAGTGTCATTGTAGTTAATTCTTTTTAACCATTCTTGTACGGTTTTTTTACATTGAAACTTATTCATAGGATATATAGATAGAGAACGATTTATTTTATTATACAAATAGCTACCAAGAAAGCAAAAGAATCTGTGGGAGTGTTCTGTTCGAAACCGTTCAGGTGAACAAACAATGTCTGCTCGTCTTTTGCTGGTTTGGAGTGATGGGATATATGGTGTTAGTGAATGCTTTTTTATTACGGTTAGTAGTATGAATAGCTGGCGTATTGAAAGTACATCACATTTAGCAAGGAGTTCTGCTGTGGGAAAGCGAAAAGGTCGGAAAGTGCTAACTTTCAGAATGGCTCTTTGTGCTCTTTCTAAATTTAGCAAAGTATTTTTATGGGAGCCTCCCCAAGTCGTTATGCAGTATACAAACAGTGATTGACAAAGTGATAAATATACAGTTTTCAGTAGCTTTTCATTAGCGACATGTCTTAAATTTTTGAAAATATATATTAATTTTCGTGCTCTAGCTGTAAGACTTTCGATATGGGCCTTGAAATTTAAATACTTATCAATTGTTATACCTAAATATTTAATGGTGTTTGTACTGCTTAGTTGAGGGCATTTACAAGTACTTTCCGATAGCGAGCCAAAACAGTTATGAGCTAATATTGTACATGAATTTAAAGTCGGTTGGGTGAGTGAGTTATAGGAAAACGTCATGTATTTAGTTTTTTCGGTATTTAGGGACAGTAAGTTTTTTTTAAGCCAGTTAGTGACAATGTCAAAGCCCGCTTGGGCTAATGTGAAAGTGTCAGTCCAATTTTCAGCACTAAACAATAAAGCAGTGTCGTCAGCATAAGATACTATTTTACTATTGTTTGGTAGGGGGATGAGGCATAAATCATTAATAAAAATGAGGAAAAGCAATGGTCCTACGATGCTGCCTTGCGGGATGCCATATTCGACGGTCAGTTCCTCACTTACAGTGTCACCTATTTTAACGCGTTGAGTCCTGTCAGTTAAATAACTTTTTAGAAGATTATGTGCATGTCCTCTTATTCCTAAGCTGTATAATTTTTCAAGGAGAATTGGAATTGAGACTGTATCAAAAGCCTTTGCGAGGTCTAGGAATATAGCTAAGCACTTTTTTTTTGAGTCTGTGTTTCTTACAATGTAGTCTGTTAGCTCATGCACTGCATCATCAGTCGATTTATTAGATCTGAAGCCGTATTGTGTAGGTGCCAGTAGTCTGTTCTTTTCTAAGTACTTTATTAGCCTGTTATAGGTAAGTCTTTCTAGGATTTTAGAAATAGACGGTAGTATGGCAATGGGGCGATAGTTATTAAAGCAACTCTTATCTCCATTTTTATGGACCGGTCATTGGCTAATCCACGATGGCAATGACTATAGTGTGCGACATGTGTGCGATAAGAATGAGAATACAAATATAATAATAATTATAACGCATACACGCATAGCCCCGCACTATGCAAACCCCGAGTTGCGGGTGCCATGGACACACACATAGACAACCACAAATTACACCCAAACTAACGAGAGAAATAAATGTAGGCCATGCAAATATTTCTCCCAGCTCGGGAATCGAACCTGGGAACTTTGCGTGGTAGTCCGGCGTGGTAACTGTTCGGCCACGGAGGCAGTAAAATACTATAATTAAAAAACTAAAATTGTGAAAAATGTTTCTCCATAACGAACACGAAGTGTTTGCATGGCACCGTTGATGTCTTTTGTATGGTAAATTTATGAGAGTTAAACTCTCAATCATTAATATTTTGAGAAGATAAGTTTGTATATGTTTAACAAAGTAAATAGCAAATCATTTCATTTGAGTTTTAATATATTTAATATTAATCAAGTGTGTATACTTTCAATGGATTAATTTTTATAACAGCGCCTGATGCGTTATTAAAGGCGGTATTGCTTTAAATATAAATTGCTCTGATGTTTTAGTGTCGATTTAAAACTGACATGAATGCGACAGCAGATCAACTTTCAATTATCCGCAACTCATCATATTCGTGTCCAAAGCATGTATTTGCATATTAAGAACTGTCATCATCATCATTAACCCACTATTGCCCCACTGTTGTCTTCTTAAGGAGAGGTTTTAGATCATGATTCACCACGTTGGCCTAATGCGGGTTGGGGATTCCACACGTTTTCTAAGGTTTATCTTTCCTTGACGTGTAGTTTGCTTTAATTTTTAGCGAGAGGTATTGGTATTTAACATTCACAAGCGTAGTTTTAAAATTAAATAATCTCAGTACAGAGTACTAAAAAACCGACCTCAAAAGTTTGTGGATCGCGGATAGTGCGCGAAGCCGGATTCATCCCTTAGGTTGCCACCCTTAGAGGTGAAATATTTTCTTCAAATTTAAATGGAAACCCCCTTTGCAACAAAAAAATAATCATCAAAGTTGGTTCGCAAATCGGCCTGGAGCCATCGCGTAACATACATACAAAAAAATCATACAGTTGAATTGAATTTAAATTGATTATAGATATAGATAGAGATTGTCAGTTAAAAAATAGCAGTAGAGCCCCTGTGAAAGAGTTCGAGGAAGTATTGCCACCTTATCTATTTCAGCCTCCAAGCAGTGATGTGAACATCACTGCGTTTCGGTTTTGAAGGGTGGTTTCGAAGGTGCTGGTGAAATTACAGGCACATGGAATTTGTCAATTTATGTTGCAAGGTGATGGGCGCATTGACAGCGCCCCTCAGATTTTTGCGATTTAAACCTCAGTGTCACTGCAACGCTGCCGGCTTGTTCTTGAAGTCATAAAAAAAGTTATAGGTTAATACTGTACAGAAATTCGAACTATCGACCACTGTTCACTTGTAGAAAAATATTTAGAATGCTCCTTTATACTTTTTATACATATATAAAATTTACAAAAAAAAATTATTACAATTGTGTTGACCAATAAACAGGCGCTTTTGTTATTGACTCTTTTAATTATCGTGTACTGTTGTGTATGGAGATATTATGTAATTAGTTAGTGTTTTGGTGAATATTGGTATTATGTGTGTATATGTTTTATTGAATAATTATATTCTTAAAGTTTCTAATCAACTTGAACCTGTATTCCAACGCCATTATTTTTCCAAATTGCAAATTTAACTATTAGTATCTTTGCTCTAAAATATTAAAAACGAAGAACGCCGCGTTTTGGCTTAGCGACTGTGAGGAGTTAGGGTTAGGTTGCCTAAAAGTTAACGACTCATTCTGGGATATTTCCCGATTGAACAGATAACAAAAAAACATCATTTCCCAAATTATTTGTTTGTCAAAGTTTTGAAAAGTCCCTGCTGGTATTCTTATAATGGAATTTATGGTATATGACGAATTCGACAGTTTGAAAGCAGATGTGTAGTGTCATATTTGTTTATTTTTTACACAAAAATTTTGCCTCAGGACCAACATTACAGATCATGTGTGGTGGTCAATTTTAGCAGTGAATTTATTTAATATTTTTATTTTTTGTGCTTTGTAAGCGCTGGTAATAGCTAATTGTGTATAACACATGTACGTAAGAACCTACATAATAAAATAGCCGTGTTTATGTCTATAATATAATTAATACTATTTTTGTGCTGAATACTCCAACTGGTTACTACAGGGTCAAATAATAAACACGCTTTGAACGTTCAGGTTGTGTGGCCAGTTTCTAAGTAAATGTATTAATTTTGTAAATGTTTTAATCTCAAATTCATAGACTAAATTAATCCATGATATGATCTTTAGAGCTGTAGAGTTGGTGTAGTAGTCTCGCTGGGATTTTCATGATATTTACGTAGCAATATCGATGCATTGGTTTAAAAAGGGAACATGTGTTGACCTTGAAGATATTAATATATTACTAATGAAATGTAGAATTAAAAAAAAGAATTATTTGTTTAATTTTCAGATGTATACAACCATACTATTAATTTTTGTGGCGATCGTGCTTGCCACTTCAGCGCCAGTGAATGACAATGCGCAGGCGCGAATACTCGTATACGATTTCACCAATGACGGGAGTGGAAATTACAAGTTCAGGTAAGATACTTTGGAAATTATAGATTATATAGAACGACTTCCTCGTATTAACTACCTCAGTGGCCGAATGGTTACCATGTTGGACTGCCACGGGTTCGATTCTCAGGCCGAGAGAAATATGTGTATGGCCTATATTTATTTCTCTCGTGAGTTCGGGTGTGATTTGTAGTTGTCTATGTGTGTGTACATGGCACCCGCGATACAGGGTGTCGCTAGAGCGGGGCTATGAGCGTGTGCGCTATTATTATTATTACTATATTTTTCAATTTAAGAAAAGTTTATCAACTCTTGTGTAGCATAGTACAATTTAATGAAAAATACAGATAATAGACGAAAACAAATAAAATGAAAAAGAACAGAATAACATAAGAAGAAGTATAGGAGCAAGAGAGATTTGGAATAATATAACATTTCTACTTTACAAAACTTGTTAAATTGATGTTCACATTGACCTTAGCATTATGGATACTTCATGCTTTCCATTTTATTATAGTTATGAGACGTCAAACGGTCTGACAAGAGAAGAAACTGGAGAAGTAGTGAATGTGGGTACAGATGACGAACACATTGTAGTACGAGGCGTCTACTCCTACGTCGATGCTGATGGTAACGTCCAAAATGTATCGTACACTGCTGACGAAAATGGATATCAGCAATCGACTTCAGGAGAAGAAGTACGTAACATTATATAAGAGCGATATAAAACACGGATATTTATAGTACAGGATAGTCATTCATTAATATCTGTTTATTTCTAGAAGCATAATAGTGAGTACAAATTGTTCCTTATAGTCTGAACAAAATATTATGCTTCTCATTTTATGAACCTTCTGATGCGAGGGGTGCCATTACATTTTATATGAAAATTATTTTTGGCACGCGTATCTAATAAAAACGTCACTCAATTGCGCAGCACCTTGTGAAATTCGCAATGAATTTTTATAAAATAAAAACTACCTCTCAAGTGTGTGGAATAGTTGCCAAATTTTATTGAAATTAAAGTACGTGAAACCGGATTCATCCCATAGTTTCAAGGTTCTTTAAATTTAAATGAGACCAATGTACTGAGAATACTTTCCAATAAAAAAGAATCATCAAAATCGGTTCACAAGTCGCGTAACATATATACAAAAAGAATAACAAATCAGTTGAATTGAGAACCCCCTCCTTTTTTTTAAAATTGATAACAAATATGAATTAGTGAATTCTAAAAAGTAGTTCAAAAATCCTGCAAAGATTGTTTCAAATATCAGACGAGATGTTTTGCGCACTTGACTAAATGGAATTTTTTGTAAAAACTTAGGTTTAATCTAGATACTGTATTGTTTTCAGATGTCGATTCCTGACTATCTACCTCCTTCTGTTGTAGCATCATTGCTAGGAGGATAAATGGATTGATTTTGATACCTCAATATATAACAATACAAAACGAATTGGAATACATAATGATTTTTTATTATACTTTTGTATCATAAAAGACTATTTTGAGTATTTAGAAATTTTTCTACTTTTTTTATACATCATTAACCCATTTATAGATTTCACTGCTGGGCACGGGTTTCCTTTGGCGAGGGTTCAGGCCATATTCCGCCACGCTGGCCCAATGCGGGTTAGGGATATCACATGTTTTCCGAGAGATGTGAACCTTCTTCAGGTGATGTTTTTTTTTACCGTGAAGCTCGTGGTAAATTTCATATTAAACTTCAGATATAAATTCCGAGAAACTCAGACGATAAACTGCGAATCCGGATTCGAATCTACGGCCTCTGTTTGTGATACGGTAGGTCAAACCATTAGGCTACCACGGCTTAGATTTTTTATTAATATTGTTTTATTATTTGAATATTACTGTCATTTAGCAATACATAGGGCACACTATAAGTTTCCGGAACTGGCCAAAAACAGTATTGAAAAAGTAATTACAACATTTGAAAATAGAACTCTTTGACTGTAGAATACAGTTTGTTTCATCTGACTGTCACTTGTTTTCATTTTAGAAATTGGTTGTCTCCATCATCATGGATTTAACACGTGAAATTTTTCGTAATATGATTTTCTACGACTTTAAGTGTAATGCAACAGCTCAGCGGAGCTTCGTTCAGCTTAAAACTGCTACTGGCGATGAAGCACCATGCAAGACGACATTTATAGCTGGTTTGCAGAATTCAAACACGGTCGTGTGAATCTCAGTGACGAATTTCGCGATGGTCGCCCGTCCACTGCTGTGAACAACAAACACATCGATGCTGTGCGCCGTATGATCAAAACCGTCAGGCATGTGACATACTACGAGATTCGGGCTTCTTTAGGCATAGGCATGAGTCAAATACATTCAATAAATACTACACAAACATTTGGGTGTGAAAAAGCTGTGCTCTCAGTGGATCCCACACAATTTGACTGTGGCTCAAAAAACGGATCGTGTCACTTGGTGCAATGCCATGCTTACCACATTCAACGAAGGGGTGTCAAATTTGGTGTGGGACGTAGTAACAGGTGACGAAATATGGATTTTTAGTTACGATCCCAAACAAAGCAGCAATCGAGCGTATGGGTCTTTCGCAATGAGCCGAAACCAACTAAAGTGGCACGCGTGCAAAGTGTCTTTAAGCGGATGATTGCTTCTTTTTTTTAATAAAACTGGACGTAAAAATAACCGTAAACGCCGTATCGTCTCACACCACGATAATGCCGGTTCTCATACGGCCAGACAGACAAATGAATTTTTGAAGGTGAACAACGTTGACCTTATCAGCCATCCCGCGTACAGTCCCGACCCGGTACTTTGTGACTTTTATTTATTTCTAATAATTAAGAACCTGTTACGCGGTAAACTATTTTCGTTACCTGAAAAGGCTGTCGAAGAGTATGAAAAATATGTTTCAGAGATTGTCACGGAGAAGTGGCATAAATGTTTTCCAAATTGGTTCATTCGTATGAAAAAGTGCATTAACGCTAACGGAGAATGTTTAGAGAAACAATAAATTGATTTCTGACCATTTGTAGTATTTTTTTCTTATCCATTTCGGAAACTTATAGTGCACCACACGTACTTTCATATTTCAGATGAATAACATAAATGAAGGATGTAGAACACAAAAAATTGCGCTTTCTTTAATAGTAAAAGAAGTAGTGGAGTTAATGTTCTTGTGCTTGTTTAGTACCATTGGCAGTTTAGCGTTACTTCAATGGTTTTATTTTCATTATCATCAACGGCAATTTTTCTATCGCTACGTGGATGAATATTTGAATATGGTTGATCGTTTATCTTCCTGCTATTTCATACTTAGAGTAACGCCAAAAATGGCAGAGAAGAGAAAGATTTCGGTGACGCTCTTGAGTTTTGTATATTTCCCTATTTATGTCCTTGAATTTGAATACAGTGAAATGAAATTATAATGTAGGTGCTATTAACGAATTCGCGTTTAATAATACATCATATTTTTAAAGTTAACCATACTTGTAAACAAGTTAGAGTAGAGCTCCTCCGTGAAAGAGTTCGTCCAGAGAAGTACTGCAACCTTACCTATTTCTGCGGCCAAGCAATAATGTCAGCATTACTGCGTCCCGGTTTTTGAAGGGTAAGGGTGCTGGTGAAATTACAGGCACATGGAACTTCTCAATTAATATCTCAGGCTGACGGGCGCAGTGGCAGTTCCCCTCAGATCTTTGCGATTTAAAGCTCTGAGTGGCACTGCAACTGTTACGGACAGGCATGTAGTTTACCATCAGGCGCACCACTTGTTCGTCCCGTCACTTGATATTATAAAAAATAATAATTGGAACAGACTTAAAATAAATTTGGTACTTTCCCCTTTTTGCCTCTGATGTACTTGACCAGTGTGTCCAGTGAACGTTCTCTGTCTAGTCTTTACTAATATTGTGCGTGAATTTTATTTGCAGAATAGTAATAATAATATTGATATTTATTACCGGTTTCGTCTTTACTGACATTTCGACCTTTCGACCTGTCTTGGTAAGTGGTATTTTGCAGTCGTAAACGCTAAGCGTTGATGACGTGGAGAAGGTTTGCTTTAAAGAAATTGATAGGTCCCATAATAGATTGGCATTTCAAAACATCTAGCTACCTATAAATAACAGTACTTAAGAGTCTAGGCTGTCTACTTCTTCTCGTTGAAGCCTTCGGTAACCAGAAGCAGTATAGTAAAGCTCCCCGTGAAAGTGTTCGTTCAGGGAAGTACTGCTACTACCTTGTTTATTTCTGCCGCCAATCAGTGATGAGAGCATTACTGCGTTTCGGTTTTGAAGGGTGCTGGTGAAATTACCGGCACATGGACTTACGTCTCAGGGCGAAAGTCGCAGTGGCAGTGCCCCTCAGGTCTTAGGATGTAAAGCTCGGAGTGACACTACAACTGTTACGGACAGACGTGTCGCTTACCAGGCGCACGACGACTTGTTCGTCCCATTACTTGCTAGTGGGGGCGACCTTCGAATATTTTCATTTAATGAACTATTTATTTAAATAATACTAAGTATTGGTACTCATATGTTATATTGATTGATAGTTATTTTTATTGATTATTCTTAAATAATTATGTTGTTGCAATGAGTTTACGCTTCATTCATTTTATTCTTTTATCATGTTGTCAACAGTGCTCTTTGTTTAAGAGGCTGAAATAGGTTAGGATTGGGATTGTTTTCATAAATAAAATTATTGGGTTAAGAAACAATACAATGAGTATCCAACGTATTCGTAATTGGAATTAACGTTGGTGAATCGTTGGACACAGAGCCAAAGCTCTAACACATAAGATATTGAAATTAGTTTTTATTTTATTTTATTGCATTCGTTGAAAACCTAAAATCAAAATATCGAAATAAAATTTTGTTGATTCTAAGATCGTCATTTTGTCTCTTTCTATACAACGTAGGTTGTCTTCGTGTTCATAATTTTAATCTCTGATTCCAAACAATGTATGTGTTGTTTCTAATATTATGAGACGTAAATAGTGACAGAGATTAATGTTCTAAAAGAAGAATAGCAAATGCTTATTTTAAAGTTCCATTCATCGGAAATATCAGAAATATAGACGAAATAAAAGCCATCCATCCCTGGCAAGTCATTAGGCAAATGGGCCTTTTAAATATCGACTCTCGTTTAAGCTGAAATCACAATTTAGAAAGCTGAAATTGTACAGCGCCAATAACTGACCTGTATGTACGTCTTCGTATATTCCAAAAAAATATTCTGTATTTATTCTAATAAAGATAATATCTATAACAATCGGTTTCCATTTGGTTGTGTGGGAAAAACAGCAAAACATCTAATTATGAAACAAACGCAATCACATTTCATCGATAATTAAATATTAAATATGTAATTCTTCAATTTTCGTCCATTATAACGAACGGTCGATTTGAAGTGGATCAATTGACGACACCCATCAATTGTTTAGAATCGGGCTGATCAATCGAAGCGCAGTTGTCACCGTAATGATTTGGCAGAATAGTTTTCAAATAAATTAAATGACATTTCGCCTCTATTTCTGGTTGTATACTCGATGGCTCCATTTAATTGAAAGGCATAATTTTACTAGTTTTAGTAAAGGATTGTTATTTTTCCAAGTAATGATAATTATGATAAAGTATGATAACTCAGTAACATTGACAATTTAACGTTACAATAATTGCTAAAAAGTAATAATTGCACAAAGCTTTAAAACGAATTATTTATTAAAGTCGTAAATAGTCGCATGCACACATGTGACTAGCTTGATGTTTAGTGTACAGAAGGTTAGTATGTTTCGTCAGAGAGATTTTGTAAGCATTTTAAATAAAGGTGACATAACGAAGGTTCTCAAACACACTTGTCCCGGAGGCTGTACGTCGACAATGCTTGAAAATTGCGTAATTTAAAACATATCCTCGACCTGTACTTATAAATGCCCAAGGTTGCCAATTTTGCATTTGATTTTTTATCACAAACTATATTAATTTGTATTTTTTAATTTTTTATGATATTTCAACTGTTATGCAACGTAACTAAGATATTGACAATTTTAAATAGACACCATACTATATTAAACTTTTTCAAGCAGATTGTTAGAGAAATATGTAGTAGTGTTATATTGCATTCATGGCAGCACATAAAATCAACAACATCACTACAGAGAACAATACGAAAACCAAAAACATCAACGTTGATGTAATTTGCAATTGAATTGATAGTTATTTGTGACAATTATCACTTGGTTAAATTTGAAAAAAAAAAATTAAATTTTTAAATTGATAGCTAAATGTGACAGACAGAGGTAAATGTTTTCATCTCTAAAAGGCCTTTACCTTGAATGTTGTTGAAAAAAACTTAAGTAATCATAATCCGTTTCAATAATTCACTTTAATATAAAAGTTGTGAATTATGATGATTCTTACTTAATTATTTCTAAGGTTATAAAAATGTATGCAACGTTTATTTATAGATCAATGCGTGCCCTAACGACATGCCTGTTGGCATTTAGTCTTTACGAAATGCATAGACGTTAACCTAAGTCTGATGTATTTATTACATCTTAAGTGTAAATGAGTCTTTGTAGATGTTTGATTAGGTATAAAATGTGCATCTGGCAACACATTCTTTCGTCATTTTGCAATTTTATTTTATACTAGTTTTTACCCAGTAGCTATTTATATTATAATTGCGAAAAATACACCCACAGACATTTTTTATGATGCCAAGTGAAGCGATGAACAAGTAGTAGGTCTGGAATAAGCGACAGGCCTGCACATAACAGTTGTAGTGCCAATAAGATCTTTACATCACAAAGATCTGAGGGGCACTGCCACAGCGCCCGCCATCCTGAGATTAAGTTAAGAAGTCCCATTTGCCTGTGATTTCACCAGCACCCTTACCTTTCAAAACGAAAACAGAGTATTGCACACATGACTGCTTGGCTATGGGTAAGGTGGCAATTTCCCTGAACGAACTCTGTCACAAAGAGCTCTATAGCAGGTCTATTCTAAAATTTGAAATAGCTCTCGAATACTTATAAGAAATTGTATGATATAAAATACTATAAATCCATAGAGAGAGAGAGAGAGAGAGTAATGCACCATAAAGGCTGTAACGTTTGAAAAATAGCATAATTCTAGCAATGTACAAAAGTACAAAAATTCTTTAAGTCTAGTATAAAAGCAACTCACTAGAGTTGATTTTATTGGAGTTAAAGAAGAAGAAGAAGAAGAGTTAAAGAATAATTGCGGTAAAATATGAAATTAAAGGTAAAGGTACGGCACGGCAACGGGCAAAATATCGTCTATTAAGATACGGCATTTATTGTTAATATCGTTACATATAAAAACATAGAATTCCAGTATACTAGAGAACGGAACGGTACTGGAAAAATCACGTTACGTATGCTGCGACTTTAAGTTGGATTTTTTGTGACGAAAAACTGATTTTTTAGTTTTTATAAATCTTTGTACAACTTTAAATTTATATTTAATCACTGTGTTAAAGTTAATGCAGTGAATATACAGATTAAATAGAGATAATTTAAAGAATAAAAAGGTAACAATAAGTATTAGAAACAGAATAGGGCACTGTTGCTACGTTGTCTATAGATGTAGTTTTCGTTCGCCTAAGTGAAGCTATGGAGGAAGTTCTTTGTTTAAGTAATTTGATGAATGTGTAAAGTATGTAGAGCATTTTATATATAAATAAAACTACTTACTGTCAATGTTGAAAATTTGAGAAAAGAATTAGGATTAGCTAAAAAAAATACAACATTTCAAGTAATGTATTAATAACATAATTGTTACTACTAGCATAAAAAATTACATTAACCGATGTAAAATTTCAAGAATATATTTTCTTTTTTTTTAAATTCACGGTGAAGTAAATATTGCTCTCGGATATGTGTTTGCATTGACGTCTGCGACTGTAATTTTGAGGTACAAACTTTAAACTTAAACGTGATAAAACGTAATAAAAACAGAAATAAGCTTTTTTGCAATAATTAATCACGAATAATAGACTGAACGTTAATTATAGATTCTATGAGGAAACATCTTTAGCACGCAATCAGTTAAGAAAATATGCTATTATGGTTTACGTAAAAAAATAATAGCTATTTATTTTCAGATTTGATACGCAATTAATGACGTATAACTTAGTATATTTGTTTTTAAATATAAAGTCGGAATAAAAATATAAGTTAATGTTTTTGTTATGGGATAATTTTACTTTGTCTTGCGTCCTTGTGATTTGTTACGAAACATTAAATGCTTGACCTTGATCGTGTGTATAGCATATATATCCAATAGCTTTGGTTTCTATATTTATTTGGTTTGGAGTTGATTCACCTGTGCTGTAAGTGACTCATTATAGTAGCTTTCTTTATCATACACCATGATATAATCGTATTAAGTCTATTTACATAAGGTTTTAATTTGTTAACTGAATTTATTTAACATGTTCAGTAATTGAAACAAACGAACTTTTACTATGGGGATATAAAAAAACAGCTGTAGTAATAATGACCATCATTTAACCTAAATGTATTGAACAGCTATTTGGAAGTTAGCTAGTAAATTACAACCATACAGTCATAGGAAATGAAACTATTTTTCCGGATTTAAATGGAGTATGTATGTTTTTTCAAACACACCAACGTTTAAAAAATAGGGTGGTTTGCATTAATATTAGCTATAACTGGTTGACGACTTTACCACCTCAGTCAACCGTGACCATGGGACCTGTAAAGGCCCCGAAACGTTGATTTATTCGAAAAAACAAATATATACTATTTGAATCCGGTAAAATAGTTTCATTTAATACGTGTAACAATCGCGAAAACCTAAGAACTCTATATATAGTCATGTTTTTTTACTGGGACAGTATGGGGAAGTCCGAAATTGTAGTAGTTACTGGAGAACCTTTTTTTATACCATTTGGTATAGTTACATTTTTAATCAAGCGTGAAATTTATGTACAAATAAAAAGATTTTTTATTTTAAGGAAATCGATTCTGTTTCTTGTTAGTGTTATTTTATTGAAAGAAAAAAAAATAGAAATGTGGACTTTTCAACTTACGACTCAGGGTGACGGACACAGTGGCAGTGCTCTTTAGATCTTTGCGATTAAAAGGTCTGAGTAGTAGCGCAACTGTTAAGGACGTGTTAAGGCATGTCGCTTACCATTAGGCCACGACTTGTTCGTCCCATCACGTGTTATCATAAAAACAGATTTTGTTTAATAGTTTCTAATTATATAGTGTAATTTAGAAAGGAAAGTTCTACAAATTCTACCAATTTGTTAAGAATTAATCTTAAGTTCTCAATTGTCGGGTATACTCTCTGTTCATGGAGGAGGTACGGTTGTTGAACGTACTCCTTTATGACTTGACGATGATCTTGGTCACAGGATAACAAAGAAAAACAAATGATTAAAAAAAATATTTCTATTGTGTATAAACATCACGTGCTTCCTAGTACAAAAATGTAAAAGTGTAAAAAAATCATATGACACAAGAATTTAGAGACAGCGATCTTCCATTCCGTATGCGTTGCACTGTTACAAGTAAAATTATTTGTTATTTACATTTTATCACTCTATTTTTTCTCATTCTATCACAATATTATAAAATGTTCTAGAATGAAACAGAGACACTAACTTACAAATAATTCTACTCACAAACACTGAGATCGAAAACGTCTACCGATAAATAAGATTTGTTAGATACCACATGGAGTATTTACAAGATTGGTGAAAAAGGTTCTTGTTTACTTCTTCTGGCCAAGAGAGGTCTTAGGCTGGAAACCGTTGGGTCCTGCGGTAAAGGTGACAGTGTAATGTTTACCGTCAGGAGCAACATACGAGTACTGACCATTGACCGTCAGAGCGGCATCTTCGGATTGAGGGTTGTCGAGTTTACCCTCCTCCTGTCTGGATGTACCATCACTAGTTTCATAGCTGTAAACAAAATTGATTTGTATGAGTACTTCACTACTACGAGTAACAGTATTAAACTTTGTATTCATAATTCAAGAAGGCAGAGTTTCTACATCTGTTTGTTGCCCCATAAAGATTGACTGTTATTTACTTAGTTAAAGCATCATAGATACAAGTAACAGACGTGAAAAAATCTTACGCAAAACTGTATCCGTCAGGTTGCACGTCGCTGTCGAAACGCAGGATCTGTACGTCCTGAGGGTTTTGCTGCGGAGCGCCCGCGCACAACGCCGCTACCACACAAAGGACTGTAACCTGAAAAAAAATCAAAGACGTAAACAATACGTATTCACTGATTTTGTTATAAATAATCTGTAGGCAAGCAAATATTATTTTTCTGCCTTTCCACACAATAATCCGCCATAATTAATAATTTACATGGATGATGTTTAATTCACAATTGCGTTTTCTAGAAAGATTATACGCATATCAGTGTGATAAATATAAGCGGAATTCAGTATTAATGCATTCGCATGCATCAGTACCTGTAGAAGATGTTTTGCGAGCTTATGCGCAAATATCCTATTAGAACTATGTTCTAGGTGTTTAAATATTTTGTTTGTACTAAACTGCATAAGTATATGACTCAAATTATTGGATACCAGTTTATATTAATGCCAATAGTATTTGCCTCAACGGCCACAACAGCATTGTAAAACCATAAAAGTTTACAAGACATCTAAAAAAATGTTAACAGTTTTTAATTACATATTTAAGTGCTAAAGTTTATTTAATTAGTTAACAACATCGTTTGTTTACGACAGATATTACTTTACCACACTTCGAAACGACACTGAAAAATCACGATACATAATAAGTAATAAAATAAAATCTAAATCCGAAACTAGGCTTGGTTGTTTATTATATTTATTTATTTAGAAAAATACAAGCGACTCACGTATTTGAGCATGTTGGTTAGTATTCGTGTTGAGCACAAAGTAACGAATGAGTAACTAGTGTAAGATCGTCATTTTATATATTCCGAGCTGCAGATGCACGGGCTGACATCATGGACCGACGATGGGCCGGCCATTCTCATCTCAAGCTTCTTGAGAGGCTTCGTCGTTTTTTCATCAACTTTGGACGCGGCCACAAATCATGACAATACGATTCATTGTATTACACAATCTCCTTATCGAAAATTGTTACATTAAGAAATAACTTTGACAAATTAAAAAGACCTTAACAAAATATTTTGTAATAATTTTGTTATTGATATGAGAGTAGCATATGAACTTATGACCTAAGAGACCAGTAATAGATTTTCTTTGAAAGAAGTATAATCATCTAATGTAGCAGTGAATGTCAATATTTTCGACTTTAGTCTTAGTAATTAATCAAACACAGAATTATTTTCATTATTCGCACGATGCAGCAGTTTCAAAATGTTCCTAATTGAATAATACATTACATTCTGAATAAAATCTAAAAGTAATACAACGATAAGTTCAAAAGTCCGTTTTAATTAATTAAAGACATTGAATCAGACGGCCGTATGAAGAAATAGGCGAGAGTGGAAACACAATGGGCTCGTTTGGTGTCTCTGTCGTTATGATATGTTTTGCAAAACTAAATAAAATTAGCATAAGGAGGAAACGAAATAAATTCGTGGTATCAATTACGTATTGGTTTGAGCTCGTTAATCCACTTTGTCAAACATGGACTTTGTACTTGGCAGCTGGAACAGTATTTAGTAGTAGTAGAGAGAGAAAGGGAGAGAGAGTTCTCTCAGGGAAAAGATCCTTGAAAGAGTTCGTTTAGGGAGGTACTGCCACGCTACTTATTTCTGCGGCCAAGCGTAAGTATTATTTCATTTCAGGTTTGAAGGGTAAGTAAGGGTGCTGGTGAAATTACAGGCTTTCTAACTTGCTCACTTGTCAACTTATGTCTGAGAGGGATGGGTGCAGTGGCTGTGCCCCTCAGATCTCTCTTTGTGGCACTGCAATTGTTATGGACAGGCGTTTCGTTTACTACCAGGCATACGACTTGTTCGTCTCTTCACTTGGTATCATGAAACAAATTAAGTATACGTCGTGACCATATAAAAAAATCCTCAGAAACGTTTTCTAACACAATACTGTGTGATTTAGTTGCATCAATTTAATTGTATATAAATTATTGTCCGTGACTGAAGTACATGTGTCTTGAAAAGAGAAATAAATGTATTGAGTCCTTAGTTTTTTGCTTGTTACAATAGTTTGCAAATTGTATATAGCGTAAAGTAGAATATTCTCTGGTAAATTAAAAATATGTATTTAATTTTGTTTTAATGAACTATAGTTCAGTATAGGTTGGTTTGCATAGGTGTTAGACATAACTGTTTGATGACGTTACCATCTCAAACAGCCGCGACCATGGGTAGGTTTGTTTGAAAAAAAAAACAAATATACGCGCTGAGATGGGCAAGCGTCTGGGTTTTAACCTGGCGGTGCTTTGTTAACCAGGTTTAATTGGGTGTTAAAATCCATTAACGCCCTAAATCGAGGGCAAAAACAATTTAAACTAAATGTTCGTTGTAAATTGAAAATTACAAAATGTTTATTGCTTTCTGATCTAGACGATTCGATTTGCCTTTCTCTTGAATCGATTCGGTACGAAAAATCGTTAAATAATATGTACTTGCATCGATCTTCATATAAATCGAAGTGTTATGTGCATCTTCAATAGTGTGAATCCGCAGGATTGCAAGGTGGGTATTATGTAGAGTTGTTAAAACAGGATTTTTTTACATTGAAATTTGTAATAAGTATGGAATTATACCAAATCCCTTATTCGCCGGTTTCTGCGTACGTTTTTGAGCAGAAAGGGTTAAGGTCCGGGCGGGTTGATTGGGTTTTAACCCAGTGCTCATGTCTGTAAACGTAATCCAAAAAAATAGTTTCATTCTTGATCCCGTAATAAATATGGTCATTTATTTTTTATGCGAAATGAATCAGTAAAGTAACCTTATTTAACTTTGTATATTTTTAAGCAACTAGATAGTAACTGATGCATTTACTCAAGTTAGCGTATGTACGCATTTGAATTTGTGTCTTGTTTTTAACCGATTCCAACAAAGGAGGAGGTTCTCAATTGGTCTGTATTTTGTTTTCGTTTGTCTGTACCTATGTATGTTTGTATACAAATTTGAAAAAACATTTCACTTCTAAGGGTGGAAAATTAGGGGATGAATCCGATTTTTTTTAATTACACTCACTTTCCGATTTCAATAAAACTTGTCACACAGATGTAATTCCAATGAAAATAAAACGGAGAATATGGTTAAGCAAATTTTTGAGGTCTGTTTTTTTATAAATAAGTTAGAAATGATTATTATCGAAATATTTTACTACTCGATTAAAAAGAGCGCGCTTCATACATGCGAAATGTACTTTAGATGTTAACTAATTAAACCAAAAGACGAAATTTTAGTAGCAGTAGAGCTCCTTGCGAAAGAGTTCGTCCAAGAAAGTACTGCCACCTTACCTATTTCTCCCGCCAAGCAGTAATGTCAGCATTACTGTATACAGGTTTTGAAGGATGAGGGTGCTGGTGAAATTACAGGCACCCTTTCAAACCCTTTCCTTGATAATAGTTTCATCAGTTTCGCGTAAAAGCATATGCCTTAAAATCACACCTAAAAAACAGTGCCCATACTCTCACTCAGAAAAACACATAGAGGGGGCAAAACTACCCTCTGAAATACCGGAATACTTATATATAAAAAGCAAAAATTAAAATATAATAATTATATAGATTTTAACTTTCGTGGTTATTCACTAAATGATCATCACTAATATAATAATAGATTTCCTACCACAGTATAAATATCGGTAAAATAAAAAGAAATCATGCCCTGGTAAGAAACCTGCAATTAGTGTTAATTTGATATTAATATTATTTTTAGTTTTAGACAAGTTTTGAATACATTAAAAATAATTGCAATTTACACTTTGATCATTATAACTTTTTCATAAAAAAACCGACTGCAAAAGTTTGTGGAATTACACCTATTTGCCAAGTTCTATTGAAATCGGTTACCGGAAAGTGGGTGACATCGAATAAACTGGATTGATCCCCTAATTTGTTACCCCAAAACGTGGAATAGTTTTTTGAAATATGAATGGGGCGACTACTTCCCTCCTTTCCAACAAAAAGAGAATCATCGAAATCGGTTCACAAATGTCGGAGTAATTACGTAACATACACAAAAAAATATAGTCAATTTGAGAGCCTCCTTTAATACAATAATTTCAGGAGAAATTGTCCACTCTATGTATATTACTTCTTTGAACTTTTCGTATATATAGGAAATATTTCGTGAGCCCGATATGCTGCCTAAGTTCCAACTTCAAGATGCGGAATTTTTCATGTCATCCAGTGTGTAATAAAACTTATGTAAACAAATAAAATAATATTATTCATTTTTGATCTGGTTTTATATCCGGTATCACGGTTGCACGGCACTGGGTCACGAATAAAATAAATAATAGTGTCATCAATTATCCTAAGGATCATAGGAATTCTGTTATCCTTGATCAGTAGCATCACTCGTGTCTTAAAGTTTTTTGTGATGATTAATTTAGTGTAGATTGGGTTATCTGTTTGTGATTTTTTAATTACAACGTGTCGAAGAAGAACGTGATTTATATATGTAACTTCATTTCGAGGAAATATGCAAATTTACGATTTAATTAAACTCTGCCCTTAACACTGAAGCAACCATTCACTGTACAAAGCATTGTGTGTGCATAGGAAATAAATAATTAAAATCAGAGAAATGTTTAAGCAGCAATTATAAAAACGAAAATAGAACATGGTTTTCTTTGCTACCAAGTGACGAAGATGGGACAAACAAGTCGTGCGTCTGGAACAACACGCCTGTTTCTAATAATTGCTGAGCTACTCAGAGCTTTAAATCACAAAGATCTGAGGGGTACTGGCACTGCGCCCTTCACTTTGAGACATAAGTTGACAAGTTTCAAGTGCTTGTAATTGCACCTTGCCCTTCAAAACGGGAAATCTACAATGCTCACATTATTGCTTGGCGGCAAAGATAAGTGACAGTACTTCCCTAACGAACCCTTTCACTAAGAGCTCTAAAGCTATAAAAACTACTTGTTGACAACAAACTTTTAAACAACGAGTAGTTTTGTTATTACCAAATACTACTTGTTGTACTTCCATATTTAACATTCCTATTTGTTCGCGAATGATGCGCAATATTTATTGCTTTAGCTTCTGACATGACATAGTACAACCACGAACATTGTTAGAAATACACTATTTGAATCTTAGTATTATTTATGTTTTTGTGAACTTGTTATTGCGTTGTAGAGAACTTTTATTTTGATTCGTTTTATTGGTGGTTTAAGGCAGTAGAAACACGTCAACTGCGTTACCGTACACACAAGCTGGATTAACAAATGATAACGTGTTGTAAACTTTTCTTCGTAGATGCTAATGTGATTTGAGTTTTTGGGATTTTTGTAGTCTGTTCGCGCACTTACAATTGTATATAAAAAAGGTCTGTTCGAAATTACAAGCAGCACTATTGGTGTAATAAGGCCACATCGACAAAATGATAACTTTTCTGGAGAGACTTTAAAGATTCTACGAACGAAATTAGTCGATAAGTATAGAAGAGTATTTATATTTTTCACCTCACCAGCTCGAAAAGGCTTTATTTCTCATTAGAAATCTGCGCGCCAAAGCTAGCGTGGAAAAAGTTTTTGAAATTCGAACTTGACGATGGACCTAACATTCGATGAACTACTGACTAATACCACCTAACTATTTCTTTCAATGAAGTATGACTCGTTCAACTACGCGATTTATATTATTTATGTAATATAAGCCCGTTGGTTTTTTATTTTTATTATTATTGACATTAAATTGACAACGATAACTAATTTTTTTGATTAAATTATATTGTTATAGTTCAATTATTTTTCTTTCAGCTACCATTTACCGGAAATTGCGCAAACCCGGAATCATCCCCTATTTCGCCACTATACGGGACTTGACACAGGAGATAATAAAAATCGGTTCTCACTATTCAAAGTATATTGAGAGAGAAAAACGCCTTGAATTGGAGAATAGCAAAATCAACCATCAAAATAATTGCTCCTTATAATACAATTTATTCGCTATTTATAAAAATGAATTGTTATGCGAGAACAGCCACCCTTAGAGGTAGATGAAATTATAATTATGGGACTACTATGGTACCTCCATAATGTTTCCAACAAAAAATAACCATGAAAATCGGTTCACAAACACCGGAGTTATCGCGTAACATAAATACAAAAAAAAAAACACGCTGTGGAATTGAGCACCTCCTCCTTTTTCGAAGTCGGTTAAAAAATTACTGAATGAAACCAATAAATATAGATTCTCGTTATAAATTGATAACTAAATATTGTCTATAATTAAAAATAACCACATTATTTCCAATAAGATCCATTCAGTTTTTATTTGTTTTTAAATCGTGTTTTCTCAATTCCACAATTTTGAGTTGCGACGTTATTGGGTTTCATGTGCGATGAGTGACATTATCCATAAAATTAATCAGAATTTTCTGGAGATACAACTTAACAATAAAAAAGCAATAAACTATTATTAATTAAAAAACATATCAAATTGGAGTTTCACCAGCACAGCTATGTAATTAAGAGGCTTTTTGTCAAACATATGACTTATGTGGTTTTTCCTTCGAAACAGACGATAGTGCTTGCCGGAGACAAAAAACTAGGGCCATCCAAAGTTCGAGTGATACGTGTAAGAGTGTAAAAAAATAGTTTGCTTGTTATAAAGTTATACGACTTCATAGAGATTAATAGATTTTAGTCACCGCATGCTTAAGCTTTTGATCAACGGTGGCCCTTATAAAAGATTATTTAAGAAAATTTACAATAATTTACCAAAAGTACTATAGGTCTGAGAAAAAACAATGAAATAAGTTTTAGACTAATAAAAATGTACTATACAGAGTCCGAATTTTTAAATGATAAATCCTTAGATTAATTGTGTAATTATTGACATTTGTGTATTTATTTTGATGTTATTAATTTTTGATATCTAGTTACCATTAAAATTGACCCATATTGAACTATCACCGCATTTAAATTACTGACCGACGTATTAAATCCATGTGTATACGCCCACGTAATATTATTGAAAAAAACAAAAAAACATATATATTACACTTGGTTTAGTCTGTCGAAGTGCATGAGAGTGAATGTACTCGTATTAAATGTCTAATGTTGGGCCGGACACAGTGAAACTATACTTATTTTGTACATGTCAGCCTATATTATAACCTGTAATTTCACGAATAAATTAATTATTATTATTAAGATTTTCGAATTTTCTATAACAAATTTATTAACCCTTTAACGCTACATTAAGATCGTAAGTAGTTAGTCGTAGTTAATGTGTTATGTTTGTTATTCTATTTCCATTATTGCACTCTTTCAGAAAGGCAAGCAGGTAAATTATTAATTTTAAGAGAGAAAAAGTTGAAAAAGTAAGATGGAAAAGTTTAATTTATTAATAATCTAATATCATTATTTTATTTGAATGAAGACAATTGCTTATAATTCAATATTAACATTAACAGCTTAGGTATACACCCAAAAAAAAAGAACTCACCATTCATGAAACCCATTTATTTAGTTTTTCTAATCCTAATACACTTTATCAATTTTTAATTGGAGGAATTTTTAATTTCGTTTCGTTTTCTAACCTATAACATTTTGAACGTTGATTGGGTTTCTGTGAAGAGTAGCATAGAATAAAATGTTGGTACTATGCCTGATCTCTACACGGTATCCAAAAAAGAAGCTATGATACATTGCTCATATGTAGGTAAAGGTTGCTGAGCGACTGTCATGAAATTACAAACGTTTTTTGAACAGTGAGAAAATAAGTTTTATAAAATAAATTTTATAGGCATTATATTAGGAAATAAATAAAATAAATGTTAGAGAACCAAACCTCTTTTAACTATTGAATATACTATAATATACACAATTCTTACCTTACATAAATGTGAGTTCTGAGTCTTGCATAATCTTTTGTCGTCACAAACATTGAATAACATGTGTCCTTTGGTTCTTTGTGGTCTTTGAATAACAATAGTATTACTCGTTTAATGCGACGTGTGGTTAATAAATAAATGAACTCGGGAAAATAAGCCTTAAATGATCGTCTATTAAAATAAAGTTATAATTTTAGCGAAATTGCACCGAAATTATACTAATTTATGAACCTGGAGGCTAATTTGTGAACTGCAAGTGCCTACATAGATCTTTGATTGGTCTAACCATTTATGTACTACTTCTTTAAACTTACCAAAGCAACGGCAGTAGGGAATTCGTAATTATATGCCAGATATATATTCGAGAAATATTTTTAATGTAAAGGTTATATCAGTTCATAGCTTACGCAAAACGGGAATCGATTCATTAAAAGCAAATTCAACAACTCTGTGTATGTACGGGATTTGAGTTGTCGCTGCAATCTATCTGAAAACATATTTTGTGTTTATAATTTTGATTCAAAATGTTCAGTGACGACGTATGATAGTAATCCTTTATTACACAAGTACATGACATTAAAAAGTACAAGTTACAAAGGACATGTACAAAGGTGAGTTTACCTCTAGAAGAGATCTCTTCCAGCGAACCCTAGCTGTGGTGAATAAACTAAGTCTGCGTGACATTATTGTACAATACATTTATTAAAATACAATGATGTAATATGATGTAATATATTGAAATTAAATTCAACCTAAATAACTTGAGAATTACTTCTTTTAACATTGTTTAAGTACAGATCAACTTCGCGTACCAAACGAGCGATTACATATGTAAACGAAAAAGATGACCAGACTGTTCAAAGACCTTGACTTTTCGCCTTATGATAAGTTCATGAGAAGCTCGTTTTTGCACGAAAGGTTTAGATTTTATCAGTCTAGTTGGAACTCTATTGTATAAGTTAAAGTTATTATAATTTGATATTTGGCTTTAACGTTAATCATGTTAATAATACATGGTTGTTATTAGGGCTTTCGATCAAGATAAACTCCAATCAGTTATGCGTTGCTAAAAGTTGAAGGCATTGGTTTTCAAATTCTATTCTAGGAAAACATAGGGAGAAGGTTAATTACTAAGGAAACCAATTCATGACTTTAATCAGGTAGTGGAAAAATCCAAGTTTCCTATTTGTATGTTTCATTTAAATGCGCTGTCGTATTGTTTAGTTGCCGTCCTAGACGAAATTACGTAACAATTGCATATGGACTTACCTACTTAAGTTTTATTGCGTTTAGGATGTCGACTCCATGTTTTATTCACATTCGCGATATTTATAGGAATTCTTGTTTAATAATAATGTAAATACAGTCTACACTATACAGACTTTAGGAATTGGAATGGGTTAAAAAGATTATGGGATAATATTATTTGATCCTCAATTAAGTGATCTATGGTAAATGTGTACTTTTTTGATATTAGATTAATTGTTTCATCTATATTAGTTGACCTACGGAAAAATTATAAATGAGCTGCATTCAAGGTAACAACACTATTATTAGTTTGAGGATACTAAATTAATATTTGGTATTCAAAAATAATATTTGATCCTCTTTTTTATCATTTATAACCAGTATATCTTTTGATATTGATTTCCTAATAAATCTTGCTTGCTTGGTTGGCGATGCCAGAAGCTAATTTGCTTGTGTTTCCGAAGATGTTTTCAGGTCAAATTATATTATAATTAATATAATATTATTATACAAATATATTCAACATTTACTTAGTTTTAAAAATAAGTAACTAAATTTTATTTTTAATGCTCGTTTGTCTTAGTTTTGAGGCCCAGCATAAAACTATTAAAGTTATTTATACAAATCAAAATTTTTTTGCGTAGCTCAGAACAGATTAAAATATCGGTCGATTTGTTTTATGTCCCGGAGAAAAAGCATCAATCATTAAAAAAGATGACCGTTTAGATTTTAGCCTGCTACTTTTGCAAATTTAAATACATGCCAAAGATTATCTATCCTAGCAAATCGCACATGAAACCAAATATTGTCGTAACTCAAAAATTATGGAATTGAGAAAACCCAATTTGTATTTTGATTCTAGTTTTAGTTTTAGTGTTTAAGCTTTTATTGTTCTGTGTATTTTAACTTATTGCCTAATAAATAAAATTGTAGTGGATAATTAATTATCATGTATAAATAAAAATAATCCCAATATTCGCAATAAGATTTTTTACTTTATTATCAAATAGTGTTTTCACTATTCAATGTAATGTAATGAATGAAATGTGTTATTAAAGCTTTCAAAATCTTTTGTTAACGGGTACAAGTTTTGTATCGAGGTGAATACTATTTAGTTCTTGGTTTAGCGAACCAATAGCAATTGACCTCTAACGTCAAAAGACGCTAGTTAGGTTTATTTTGAGCTAGTTAGTGCCGTTACTTTACTTGAACGTTGGTTAAGCGAATTTTAATTATTTCAACGTTCAATTTTTGTAGTGAATACAATGAAATAAAATACAAAACTATTCACTTGATTTGAGTATCACGCAGTTACAACAGCGTAAGATAAATAAGCAAAAATGTACCTTAGTAATGCCCATTTCGTCTGTTAAAGCGGCGAGTTGTCGGCCGACAGAGGCAAACAATTTACACAATTGACCAACACCCGCAACATTTTTGTGGAGCTCCTCAAATAAACTGTTTGATTTACATGATTGTGATTAGCACTTCGACCTGCAATGAAGCTTTGAAACATCCATTGTCAACACTGTGAAATGATATTTATAGCCCATCTCGCACCAGTACAGTGCACAGACGTACAGGACTTGTTCAGACATTCACATCCGTCAGGGCGTATTATTTTCAGGACAAAATGAAGATTGTGAGTGATTTCAAAATTGTTTTTATAAAAGAAAAGTGACGACCTCCGTGGTCAAGTGGCTTGCACACCGGTTTTCATAGCATCTCTGAGGTAGTGGGTTCGATCCCCGGCCGAGTCAATGTAGAAAATCCACTTTTTCTATATTGTCTCGGGTCTGGGTGTTTGTGGTACCGTCGTTGTTTCCGATTCCCAAAACAGAAGTGCTTTAGTTTTCTTACTTTGGGATCAGAGCAAGGTATATCATGTTGTCTAAAAAAAAGAGTGGTGACATCTTACAAATTTGTGTGGTTTAATTAATAGTACTATAATAACGCATACACTCAGCCTCGCACTAGGGAAACTGTATATATAGCTCGTGACACGGACAGAATAGATGACCACAAATTACACCTAAACTCACGAGAGAAACAAAAGGCCCGGGAATCGAATCCGGGACCTCTGTGGGACTAACCAACAACAATAAAGTTTAAACAGACTAATTTTTTGTTCTAACATTAATTAAAACGTGTTAGTTTGAAACTTGATAGTTCATTGCTTATTTCAGATTCTAATCGCCCTCAGTACTTTGGTCATCGTATGCGCCATTCCACAACAGCAGCAGGGACAAGCGCAGGCTCCTGTAGAAATCGTCAAACAAGACTCTGAAGTCGATGTAAATGGATACAACTTTGAGTGAGTACTGTGACGTGAGACATTCGTGTTAAAGCATTGATTTAGCTGAAATCATTTGAACGTTCATTAGTCTCGACATGGTCTCGACTAAATTACTGCCGATTTGCACTCGATAAAAAATTCAGACATTTTTAACCGCCTCGTGTTCTCTTTTTTCTTTTTGAATTAGGAATTAAATTCATGAATGCTTGTTATGAATTTAATTAAGTATATCTATAATCAAAGTTTAATATATATTACTACAGAAATAAACGTAAAGCCGTGGTAGCCTAGAGCGTTTGCGCAATATGTCCGATTCGTATCAATTCCGAATCCGAGAAATGACGGTCCGAAATGTCAGAGGGATCATTTTATCTCTATGTGTACAAGCGATATTCGTATTTTATCGGATATGAATCGGACGTAGTGCACAAGCGACAGCCGAATTGGATCCGAGTTTTCTCGATTTATAAAGTCTCGGATTCGGAACGAAGGCGAATCGGATGTAATGCGCAAACGCGCTTAATGGTTTGATCTACCGCTTCTCAAGCAGAGGTCGTGTGTTGTTGTTCGAAATTTATCTTTTCGGTGAAGGAAAACATCGTGACGAAACTTGTACGTCGATCAAGGTTCACAACCCTCGGAAAACTAGCCCAAGCCGTATAGGGTCAACGTGGCGGACTATGACCTAAACTCTTTTCTGCATATTTCGTTGTATTTACCTTAAATCAACCTTGGGACCTTTGTAACTCCTCATGTGAGAAACAAATTGGTAATCTTACCGTTTGACCCGCGATTAACCTTCCCAAGTTTTACTCAACATTTGAACGTTAACATTTTTAATTAATTCAAGTAATTATGTTATACGACCACATTTTTTAACAATTATGGGGGATTTTTCTTTAATTACCAAGTAATATATATTAGTGATCTGAAATATTTGCATTGGACGCAGATATATTAAGGGAATTATAATATTGCGGTTTAAAGTTACTTCTTTGCGTTGTAATAGGTAAATAAATGAAAATAAATATTAGACAACACCATACACGTTGCTCTGATCCCAAAGTAAGTAAGTAAAGCACTTGTGTTACGGAAATCGGATACAACAATGGTACCACACCCACACCCGAGATAATACATAGAAGTTAGTTTGGGTGTGTGATAGAAGATATAACAACAAATAATCTATTTTCGCTTTGTTTAACAACATTTGATGTAATTTCTAAGGATGTAATCACTCACTGTATATAATCATCAAAAGATATAACAACAAAAGGCATAATTTCAATGTGTATAATAAACCTTCATTATAACAAACATTAGATATAATGATTAGGTGACATAATGTAGAAACGGTATAAGTACTGCCGGTATAATGTATCAATTAATATAACAGAATATTTCATTTTACGAATAGTTGAAGCGCTTAACTAAATAAATTAGCAAATATACCTGAAATAGAAATATGACAATTCTTTATTTATTGTTGTTTGTGGGTGGTTTTAATATAATATATTTATCGGCGCATTGGCAAAATAGGACATTAGTGGCGTCACATCTATCCGATGGTCGTCATTAGAACGATTCTAGCGCTACCTAGCATCAATAGTAGAATGAATACCGAGCACTGGGGAGGTGGCCATTTTGAGCGGGTTGTCATCCTTGGGTCGTGGTAACATGCGCACGCACCCACGTGTTTGGTGGATGATATTTTTGAATCTTAATTAATCATAGCTATCCTTTATTGTTTCCTTAAGTTAGTGATTCTAAAATTTAAAATAATAAGAGAAGTTATTAAGATAACCCGTATTTTATGGAGATATCATCTACTCGGTCAACAACACACGCCTAGCGAGAAAAAAAATGGAAAATCACTCTGATAGCAGCACGAGTGCCTTCATATTTATTAAAACTTTGAGCAGAATATATAATTGCATATGCTAACCTAACCTAAACCCACAGGAGGAGGTCGAACCAACTAGCAAATACAAACAAATTCGGTTCTGGCAGTCGACGGCTACTGCCGCGGCGCGCTCGCTGCGCTCGCTCGGCTATTGTAGCTTTGTCATATACTAACATAACCTAAACCCACTAGAGGGGGTCGAATCAACTAGTAAATGCGAACAAATTCGGTTCTGGCAGTCGCCTGCCGCTGCCGTAGCACGCTCGCTGCGCTCGCTCGGCTCGTACAAACTTATCATGCATAGGGCGTACTTTAAGTTTCCGGAACTGGCCACTTACATAAACAATATTTAAAAAGTAATTACAACATTTGGTAAAACGGAACTCTTTGGCTGTAGAATACAGTTTGTTTCATCTGACTATCACTTGTTTTTACATTGTGGCGTCATTTTAGAAATTGGTTGTCTACATCACCATGGATTTTACTCGTGAAAATTTTCGTAGTATAATTTTCTACGACTTTAAGTGTAATTTAACAGCTCAGCGTAGCTTTGCTCGGCTTCGGTCGGCTTCGCTTCGCTTTTGGCGATGAATCACCATGCAAGACGACTATTTATAGCTGGTTTGCAGAATGCAAACGCGGTCATGTGAATCTCATTGACGAATTTCGTGATGGTCGCCCGTCCACTGCTGTGAACAACAAAAACATCGATGCTGTGCGCCGTATGATCCAAACAGAGAGGCATGTGCCCGATTCGGGCATCTTTAAACCACATCTTGAAACCAACCCAAGTGGCGCGCGTGTAAAGTGCCTCTAAGCGGATGATTGCTTCCTTTTTTAATAAAACTGGACTTGTGGCTACTGTTGCTTTGGATAATCGTTGTACCGTGAATAGTGATTAGTACACGACCATTTGTTTTCCTGAAGTCATTGACAAACTCCGTAAAAATAACCGTAAACGCCGTATGTAATACACGGCCAGAGAGAAAAATGAATTTTTGAAGATGAACAACGTTGACCTTATGAGCCATCTCGCGTGCAGTACCGACCTGGTACCTTGTGACTTTTATTTATTTCTAAAAATTAAGAACTAGTTACGCGGTCAACGATTTTCATCACCTGAAGAGACTGTCGAAGAGTATGAAAAATATGTCTCAGAGATTGTCACGGAGGAGTGGCATAAATGTTTTCAAAATTGGTTCATTCATATGAAAAAGTGCATTGAGGCTAACGGAGAATATTTTGAGAAATAATAAATTAATTTCTGACCATTTATAGTATTTTTTTCTTATTAATTCCGGAAACTTATAGTACGCGTATAGTACTCGTACACTAACCTTTTTTTCTTTCCGGGGGAAAATCCGTCATGGATACCACCGCGTCACGGGGAGGTGCGTGGTTATGTGAGACTCCTACTCACTAAAAACCCCCGGGTATTCCCGCACTCCGCAAGCGACGGGGTAGTGACCACGTGGTTTACGATCCACGGCCCCGCCTGCGGTTGCTTGCGACTGCGGACCCACCTCTGGGAGACCACGTATACTAACCTAACCTAAACCCACAAGAGGGGGTTGAATCACCTAAACAACCAGGAGGAGGTCGAACCAACTAGCAAATGCAAACAAATTCGGTTCATTCACCATTGCACCTAAACAACAATGGAATTATATTTATAATATATTATAATCAGTGAAAAGTGAGTGTTTATATAAAATGAACATTATGCCATCGGTATAATAAATTGAAAGATATACCCAGTGACCTTTATATCATGCAAGAATGTGTTGAATGTCTGTATACCTTAAATTAATTATATCTGTTGAGCGTTATATCGACTCAAAATATGTCATTTTTTGTTATATATTACGAACCGCACCCCTGCAAACCACTCGAAGACAGAGGTCGTCAAATTTGGTTGTACTTACTGAAACTTTAAAAACGTTCTAACACCGATTAAAATGTTCTAGGTTTGAAACCAGTGACGGCACATCGAGACAGGAGCAGGCTGAGTACAAGAATGACACCGATCAGCAGGGTCTCCTGGTCAGAGGTAGCTACAAATACGTCGCTCCTGATGGACAGAATATAGCCGTGTCATTCGTCGCTGACAAGAATGGATACCAACCCACCGAACAGAAAGATGGCCAGAATCAACAACCTGCTCAATCTTAACTATTTTTGTTTAAACGATTATTTAATTTAAATACATCATCAGTTAATTGTAGGCCGGGATTGGAGACTAAAAACATACATATTTATTTAAAACGTTTCATCTTCTCTATACATTTAAAGTTCAGTAGGTTTCGAAGTACTTCTTAACATACTCTCTAGACAAATTCATAACCAACATACGGAATAGACCAAATATTATACTTAATTCTAAACTTTGTGTTATGTCCTGTGAGTTCAAATTATGTGCGTGCCTATCCGCAGACAATAAGAAGTTTATTTTGTTACTTACATATTTTAGGGCAGATGTTCATATATTATCATGTAAAGGTGAATGTTCACCTTGCAAAGCGATAATGCTTTAACCACATTAGTACCAATTGTGTCACAAGGTTTTCGTTTCTTTATATTAAGAATTATTTAAATTGCGCTGTGTTTGGGTTTTCTTGGCTAAAATCAAATATAAATTTAAGAATAAAATTGATATTTTATAAAAGTGTGTCAACTTCTAGTCCCTGGTATGTCATATTGCGTTAAAAGCAAATTAGAAAGTACATACTGTTCGTGTGTAATATTTCTTTTAAAATTAGTAATATGTTCGCTTTGACAATATTGGGTCACGGTCTTCTCCAAATTAATTCTTAAATTGGACAGTAACAATAGTGACTCATCCAAGTACGTAAAAATTAGGTAAAACTAGTATATTTTAAATTGAACTTTGTAAATTTCTGTTACTTAATAAAACGTAAAGCACTAGAGTTCTCATTGGTATGTTGATTGGTGTATAAAATAGATATTAATACTTTTATAGTTTATAACTTTATTTAAGTTCTCATTATAAGCGTAGAAGATGTGGCCACTAACCCTAATATAACAATCATATCAATAAATTAAATGATGTATAGAGAAGACCGTCTAATGAATGATGAAGTTTTGACTTAGGTAATAATTTTGTTCCTATAATTAAATTTTCAAAATTAATTCAAAAACTTCCAAAAAGATTTTTTTCGCCAACTGAATGATGGTAATACCACAAAATAAATAAATGACTTCAAATTTATTAGCAATAGTTTGTATCTCATTGCTTGTTGTGTGTAATAATGAATACATATAAAATTTTGTTTTCTACTTATGACTACACTTTATTGTAACCATAAATAGACAATGACAAAATTTATAAATTATGGCCAAGTGCATTGGGCGAGTTTTTACAAGGTTAATTAATTATTATACCAGATACGAGGAATAGTAACCGTATCGTTATCATTATTTGTTTGAATTCGTCCGAAAACAGTATTGTAGAAAATTCAATGCTGCGTGTACAGTTCAGGACACGAAACTTACCGTTTGACATTTTAAGTAGGTTAATGAGTTTTTGATTTAGTTTATTACTGTTTCTTGTATTAGCAAAGCTCCTAAGGAAAAAGTTTGTTCAGGGACGTCTGGAAGAAGGGAAGACTGATACCTTACCTATTTCTGCCGCCAAGCAGGCATTTACATTGTGAATAAGCATTATTTAGGTGTGCAAGTTCCATTGTCGACCTCATCGTTATTACTTTTATTATTTGTTATGAAGAAACTTTCACCGTCATAAGAAGAATGGCCCATTTCGTCTAGGGAAATACGTTTTACGCTATGTCACAGATTACTTAACAGTAATTACGTAACATATACACCACTCTCATACAAAATTTAAAATACCTAGGCTATAATAACCCACTAAATCTAACTAATGACACCAGGCGCACTACGAGGGAAAATGAACCTAAACACGCGCTCAGAGAAGTGAAATAACGTTGCCCGCCATGTGCAGTCGTGCGGAGCCGAATGCTCATAAATGAAAGTATTGTGTGAACGCTTGCGCCGACTTCAGCGCATTTAGCGGTAGGCACTTATCGCGTAACCTTGAGCGAGTGACGGAGCACCGGCTAGGTTATGAGAATGACGTAATTTGGAGTATTGCTCGCATCTCTGGGTCGGAGCTCTCAAATACCAGCTTTATCCCACTTGATTCCATCTATGTTCGTGTTATCGACGATCCCAACGTCTCAGACTGCTTGGAGCCCCTTAGTCTACAAAGAGACGTTGGCTCTCTATCTGTGTTTTAGCGTCTGTGCACACAGTAGTAATAGGGAATGATCAGAAGAATTTTCAAACAAATTTTGCCGAAGAAGTAGCATCTGTATGGGTCTCTGAACGTCTAAGGTTGAAGTAGTAGTTAAGTAAAGTAGGATGTTGAGATGACGTAAACACAATTTCCGTAATAAGTTGATGTGTGAAGTAAAAAGTGTACAGTATAGTTTTGATTGCTTATCTGTAGCCGATTGCTGGTGAAGCGAGTTGTCAACTGTCTTTTATAACCATTTACACGTGAAATAAGTAAGTTGTGTTAAGTTAGCAAAAACATTGTACCTATTACATATTAAAACCACGTGGCCAACATTTTCATTCCTAACTTGCAATAATATTTGCTGCTACGACGTTTCTTTGTTTACCTACAAGACGTGACGTCAGGTGGTATGTTGGTTTTTGTATAATAGATTAAAAATATCATAATTTTCTGATTTTATTTTTTGATTTTAATATGTAAATTATTATTATTTCACAAAAATAATTGTTGAAACATCGTTTTTATGACACAAACATTTTTTCTAAATACATTTTGGATTTTCTTATTATTGTACCATTGCCTTATTATAAGTAAGAACATATTAAATCGACCTACCTATTTATTGCAAATGTACAATTAAAATTAATATGAATTTGTTTAGCGAAGTCATACATCAGAGTACTAAATGACCGACATAGTATTGGTAATGGGCCGGACGTGTTTGCAGGAGGGCTGATAGCCGACGGAGCAGACTTGTTTAAGAGTGGCGATTGCGTTAAGGCGGTTGACGACCGTGACGACTGTGGCTAGATGGACGAATGACCTGAGAAAAGTGTCCAGCAGCGGCTGGGTGCGGGTGGCACAGAACCGGGAGATTTGGAGTACTCAGGTTTATATCCACCAAAAATTTTGTGAATTGATAACGTTGTAGCAAGGTGTTTTTAAAGGTTTATTTTACCGGATCGCCCCTAAAGGATGGTAATGTTTTTAATATCTATGTACATGTGAAAGTCTTGTAAGGGCTGATATTGGATAAACCCTTGCTTAATTGTTCTTGGTTATAAATGTTATCAACAGATAACAAGTTTAACAGATAGTAAGTTTGTTCAAGGAAAATAATATATTACGTAAAAATACGTGTATTCATTATGAGCGTTTACTCCTTACTAACTTGGGTGACGTGTGTTGTTTGTATGTCATACAAGTCAAAAGAGTACAAAAATGTAGAGCGTGTAAGTTCATTGTAGGTTTTTGTTTATGAGGTATCTGTCTTAATTGTAGGTGTAAATTAAGGACAAAAATTTGCAAGAAATCTGTATAATATGCGCTTTGCGTATATTTTATTGAAAATAACTCTTTTTAAGCCTTGAAAATGCAATGATATAACAATTATACAATAGGTCTTAATGAGATGATCGTAAAATATGGAACACACGTTCCACTATGGCTTTTGATCCGTAGACGCAATGACAACCATATATTTTTCTAAAACCCAGCAAACTGCAATGGGAGAAGCGCTAAACGTCCAATATACATTAAAATGTTGTAAATATAATTATATGCTTCAGGTATGTCTAAAATTTGTAAGATAAAAGTATTTTTCTAGACACCATATGGTCATGTAGAATATATAGCGCTAAATTTTGAATGCGATATTTTCATTATAATGTACACTGGGTGTTTACGTGATCTTAGGATAATATTGTCTTGGACTGAATCATTTCACATGTACTTTTTGATGATGTGAGGACATACACACAGAGTTTGCGTTTAGGGTGCGTCTTCCTTCATACGCGTATAACTATATTTATTTATTTTTGACTACTTTGGGTATCGAAAAAATTTATATTATTTACATTGTATATTTAACATGGCTACAAGCTACAACGTAATTATAGAGTTTATCTCTTTTTTATTTGTTTTTTAACCTGTCCGGTCTTGAGTTTCAAATTATTGTCTAGCACTACCAATAACTACGATCCGAATTATTTACGCGCCGTTGTTTCTGGTAGTCAGACGTCTAATGTGAACTGCTAAATGATGGATTATATATATCTTGCTGACAAACCTTCACTTTCAAGCATAAACGCATCAGATCACATCACACATACACGCCCGGTTAGTTTATTTTTTATTACACCCCACTTTTTTACAATAACTAAGTGATGGGACGAACAAGTCGTGCGCCTGATGGTAAGCGACACGCCTGTGCATAACAGTTGCAGTACCACTCAGAGCTTTAAATCACAATAATCTGAAGCGCACTGCCACTGTGCCCGACACCTTGAGACATGACAAGTCCCATGTGCCTGTAATTTCATCAGCACCCCTTACCCTTCGAAACTTGTTGGCGACATAAATTACTTTACATATACACTCCCATTTTTTACTTTTGATTTGTACTTATTTTATATTTTGCCATTTTCTACGTTTTACTTGGACGAAGCCTTTTCGGTGTGACCTAGCGTCTCTCAAGCAGAGTCCGTGGGTTCGAATCCGGTCTGGCACCTCTGAGTTTCTTGGAATTTTCGTGCAAAATTTAATTTGAAATTTACCGTCAGCTTTTCGGTGAGGGAAAACATCGTGATGAAACGCGCACGTCGAAGAAGGTTCACAAGTCTCTGGTAACGTGTGAAGTTCCCTACCCGCATTGGGCCAACGTGGCAGACTGTGGCCTAAACTTTCGTCTGAGAGGAGATCAGTGCCTAGATATGGGTTAATGATAATGACTTGGACGAAGCGACATCTTTGTCATTTATCCAGCTTCATTGATACCAGCGTATTGAGGCGTTTTCCAATGCCTTGTTACAAAAAGCAAAGAGATAAGTTGGTAATGTTTTAACGATTTGGTAATAAACTATTTTGCGTTGTTTCTTTCTTTCTTTCTTTCACTAAGAAGAAATTGTTCGGTTCTTCCCATATCCATGGAGATGAAACAAGCTCAACAAATAAATTTCAACTTTTTACATTAGGGACTTGCCTAACATAGAAAGTTGAAGTTTTATTACAAAGTGTTTTCAGACGTGTGATTTATTGCTCTTTTAATCTACTTTTAATAAAAAAATATACGGGGCAGAAGCTTTATATATTTTGTTACTACAGAGTTAACTAACAATAAAACGGACAAAGTTTTTTATATAAATAATTTATTGACTTCCTTTAGGAATAACACGAATCTGTGGGTTGTAGCCTTTGTCATCAGCCGTGAAAGTAACCTGGTACTCCTGGCCATCTGGACCGAGGTAGGAATAAGAGCCTCTAACGCCAATGCCTTTATGTTCTCCCACTGTGATAAGCTGGGCTTCTTCTTCGCGTGATACCCCGTCACTTGTTTTGTAGCTGAAAAAGTTGAAATGCATGATGATCGAAGTCCTTGTTGCAAAAGATAATTTCGAGCTTTGTAGAAAGTTTTGAGTTCTAATGTTTTAAGTAATTAACCAATGCTTAAACTATATTCGTGAATTAATTTTTATCAAAGTATTCTTATTTATCATTGAAAATAAAAATATTTATTTTGTCTCAATAAATATTCAGCCAGCAGCAAAAATATCAAGCTATTTATTGCACTATGTGTGGTGGTAATAATTAATGTTATAGAATAACTTTCTAGAATAAAATTTCTTTGCTGCTGATAGTACACACGAACTGATTATCATTAGAGCCTATGAACACGGCGTAATTTATACACGCCGACGACGCGCAGATGACGCGCAGATGACGCGCGTAAACGCGATTCAAACGCGATGCAGTCGCAGCGAGTAAACCTTTGCACACGTTCACAAATTCAGTGGCGCCGCTAACGCGCGTCATCTCAATACCTCCAACACACTGGGCTAACTTAATTTTTGCACCTCCTGTTTTTATTTTGTTTTTTGTTGCTATGTTTTTTTCATAAAATTAGTTTTTTTGTCTTTTATCCAATTTTGTGTTTGGTTACTTTATTTTTTTGTACAAAATTCGGGAGCATAATATTAGTAAGTAAATATGACTGTTTACAAAAATAACAGGAAATAACCAAAAAAGAAAGATGGCGTAGTGTTCATTGGAGGCATCAATCTACGCGTTTTCGCGTCGCAGACGGGCGTGTGTTTGCATCGCGTTTTACGTGCGTTTGAATCGATACAAACACAACAATCTGCTTTTTGAGTCTCAGCACAGCAACGTAAACGCGCGTTCTTGAAACGCGTTTCGTCGACGCTTATAAAATACGTCGTGTGAATGGGCTCTTAGTTATCGGTTTCTTATCACGGCATGACTTCTTATTATTTCCCCGTTCTGTCATTCGTTAACGTGGAGCGTGTAATAAAAATATCGAGAAAATATTAAGGAGTCATCAACAAAACGAAAGTCTATATTTGTAACAAATTTGTTACAAATCAAAGGTAGTAATAATAATGACTTACACAAAGTTGTAGCCATCTTCCCTAACAAACGTCGCTTCAGTGATGATCTCTACTTTGGGCTTATCTGAATCTGCACTGAGGGCAGCCGCCACCAGCAAACTCATGAAGAACAATTTCTGTTGCCAGACATGTAGAGGCAATAATTATTAATACAAATTAATATTATAAATGTGAATATAACTCTGTTACATTCCCACGCTTAAACCACTGAACCAATTTTGATATAGAAATAGACGGGACTTACTACTGCTTTTTGTCACAAAAACAAATTTTAAAGAGGGTGAAATCGGAATTAAAAGTTTGTATGTAGAACTAATAGGACTATAAAAATTAGTATAGTACAGAAGGCTACTCGAAGTTAATTTCCCTATTTAAGATTGAATACCGTTCGATCAAACATTAATTGCTCGAAAACGTTTACTCCATAATATATAATAAAAACTACTTATTCTATGCAGTCGAAGTGCGGACACCAGATAGTAAAGAATACAATCTGATAGCAATTACTTTACTTTTCCCACTGTATACTGAATACAATTTGTGCTAAGTTAGTTAGTAAACACAGAGCAGCTTAAAAAGAATTTTAAACAACATGTTTGCTTTTTATTACACATTATATCGAATTTTTAGGTTTTCGCGATTGCTACACACTGGATAAGAAACTATTTTTTTCCAGGTAAAAAAAAATAAAAATGTATATTGTTAAAGTATTTTGCAAGTCGTATGTAGCGTATATTGGAATATACACTAAAGTTCAGAATAGGGTGGTTGATAATGTAATAATGGGACCTGTAAACTCGAAATGTTGTTTTGTGTGAAGAAACAATTTTTTTAAAAACACTAAGTGACGGGACGAATAAGTCGTGTGCCTGGTGGTAAGCGACACGCCTGTCCAGTTGCAGTGGGACTCAGAGCCAAAACATAACAATCTGATGGGCACTGCCACGGCGCCAGACACCCTGAGATATAAGTTGACAAGTCCCATGTGCCTGCAATTTCACCAGCACCCTTACCCTTCGAGACCAGAACACAGAAATGTTCATATTACTGCATGACAGCGGAAATAGGAAAGGTGGCAACACTTCCCCGGACGAATTCGTTCACAAGGAGCTCTACTACTACTATGTATTTATTGAAAGATACACAATCAACTTAATACAAAATAATCTTAGAAGTTAAAGCACATGCGTTCAACATACAAGGTAATAAATCGCTACAGGAGTATACAGCACGAAAAATTTAGAGTTAACCAATTGAATAAAAAAAAAATTTGAAATATAAAATTACAGCAATAATTAATTATAAGGGATGTAAGGATCAGAACATTTGCTTGCACATGCGAATATACGGCTTAGTGTTTTTATATGTACAAATGTACGCGATTCAGATCCGGAAAACAAATAGTTTCAATTCCAGTGATACATATATCATTTTTTTTATTAATAATTTTGGCTTGGATACAAGTCCTTTGAGCCATGTCTTCGTTTAATTATGTTTCTGTATATATGGCCACCACAAAGAGGATAGGCAATTTGAGGCGGCCTGCTTCGATTGACTCGGGATTCCTTATAAAGGGCCGGATTCGCTCTGGACCTTTTGGAGGGAAAAGTGTCGTTTTTATTTTGACTTTCAATTATTTTGTGAAATCTAGTTTAAAGTGGACTAGGATAGTGCTATTGTGCCTTAATCGAAGATTAAAACGCGAAATTATACGAATCTCGAACCAAAATACTCGTATCGGCCCGTTCTAAGGAATCCCGCCTCAAATTGCCTATCCTCTTTGTGGCGGCCATATTTACAGAAACATAATTCAACTTCATGTACCAAAAAAGAATAATGTACCAAGACTTGGCTGTATGGTGTAAAACCTTTGCTTTTTCCTTTATGGAAAGAAGAAAAAAAATTAAAAAGGGCCTATACGGGTATTTTAGTTCGAGATTCGTATGATTTCGCGTTTTAATCTTCGATTAAGGCATAATAGTCCTATTCCACTTTAAACTAGATTTCACAAAATAATAAGTAATATGTCAATAATAAGTCAAAATAAAAACGACACTTTTCCCTCCAAGAGGTCCAGAGCGAATCTACATATATCATTACATTGATACAGTCTGATATAGACTTGGCAAAATACGAAAATAGTGTCAGGGCTTATTGCATAATAATTTCATAAAAATGAGTTCCTTCGTTTAATTGATTATCCTGACCTAAACGATGACATGGTGTATTATGTTAGTTAATTAGAATATCACAATAACGCATTTCTGCGAATGATTAACGCCTACTAAAAATGAAAAGCAATTTATGATAAAAGCAGAATTTGGTTTTGTCTGCTCACGCCTTAAGTCGTATGCCAACAATTTGCATCATATTATACATACAATACTTTTTTGAGCAATTCATGCCATTTCAAAGTAGGTACTCGTAAAAGCATTACCAAAACTTTATGCGTCAACCTACATAGTATCCACCCACATAAACTTATCTATATAGTTAGTTGCAATGAGGAAATATATGCTTCAAATCTTGCTATTGTTGGCAATGCAATTCTGTTACGGGTGTAAATAATTTTGTACAGAATAAATATGATTTGCTATGTAGATAAATATTATAGATAATATAATAAGTTTAGATAAATTTATTAACAAACCTCAGTCTATCAAGGCTCTTTACTGTCTTTTTGTCTAAACGTTGTGGTACCAATTTAGTTGAAATTTGTAACTTACCAAGGCAATCATGTCAATGGGATTTGTTTTTTTTTCGATAAACACAATAAAGATGGTAGTTTCAAACTAATAAAATTTCTATCAGCTTCTTCTTAAATACAGTGATTGTTTGTTTTGTTACATAGATTGGCTAAGTATTGTACAAGTGATAACAGCATTTGGTGACGAAATGCTGCGTAATAATTTCACTGTCGTAAAATGATTTGGCATACATTCTCATTCTTGAGTAGTCACAGAAAAATTGTACAGAGCTTTGTACGTACCAATAGTCAACCACATACACGTTCTTTTTGGGTCAGGTTTGTTATCAGTTACGAATATTTCATTGAGTAAAAAAAGACTAAAGGATATCGACTCATCCGAAGAACAGAGTCCGACGTGATTAAATAGCGAAATGAGAATAAGTACGGTAATAGAATAATTTCGTTATTCAAACTAAGGCCTATGTAAAGGCGTCTTGAGAATTTATACATCTTATTTCGTTTCGGAAATATTAAATCGAACAACGGTTAATCTGACATCCACAGCGAAAAAGAATGAACGAAATGTACTATGTCCTGAGAACAAGTAGTCTTGCACATAGATTTTTGTTTTACGGATGAGTCGATTATATTCTTTCCCAATCCGCCAGTGATTGATAACGTATATGTAGATCTATACCTTTTTAGAGAAGGCCTATTCTTAACAGTTTTATATGTGGTGGTATTGCAGTAGTGAATCCATAAAGTATAATAAGATTGATGCTGCAAGTTAAAAGCGTAAACGTAAAATCAAGCACATATATTTTTAAGTAATGTTATTTGTAATAATTAACTTATTTACAAAGATATATATTTCATCATAAATATAGTTAAATAAATATAAATCGCAGTCTTTTATTTCTACTGTCGAAACTATTCGAACTTCCTTATATTATGAAATTTTCTTGATGATTGTTCGATAGCCTCTTTTACCAGCTTTGTAAGACATTTCATACAGCTGCCCTTTGTTGTCGTACCATCGAACAGTTCCGAGGACGTCGAGCGCTGCTTCAGGTGTCCCAGGATTTAGAATAGCCCCTTTTTCCGTTCGCGATGATCCGTCACTGGCTTGGTAACTGAAAGAAGAACGCATTTTTTTATATTACCAAGTGACGGGACGAACAAGTCGTGATTCTAATGGTAAGTGATACGCCTGTCCATAACAGTTACAGTGTCACTCAGAGCTTTAATTCGCAAAGATCTGAGGGGCAGTGCCACAAAGTGCCTGAGACACAAGTTGACAAGTCCCATGTGCCTGTAATTTCACAAACACCCCTACCACATGCTCACATTACTACTTTGCGACAGAAATATGTAGGTAAGGTGGCAATACTTCCCTGGTCTTTCACAAGGAGCCCACTGCTAGTAATAAATATCCGAATTATCAGGATACGCAAAGAAGTCGTGTCCGGATAACATATTGGTCGAATATCCGGATTGCAACTCCTACATGAAATTGTAAATGAAAAGATATCTTTTCGGAAGTTATTCTGAAAGTAATTAGTAATTAACTAATTTGAGGGTTTTTACGTATACAAAGTGTCAGATTATAATTTTTTGTTAAATTGACGCTCATTTGGGTCCTGCACTCAAACTTTATTTACAGCATATTAAATAATAACAATAAGGTAGATATTTTCTTTGATTTCTTAATAACAAGGTAATTTCTAAACGTAAGAACTGAGCTCGAATTCCAATCCAATGATTGGTGACATCAGCGCAGGATCGAAGAAAGTGGCGTATTCTCGTTTCGGAGCCAAGATGCATTTTGGGTCACTGAGCCGGACGGCGGAGTAAGGAAGTAACAATATTTTTGTTTACAGTGAATTCTTATAAGAACGAAAAATGTAGGCATTATATGCCTCGTTATAATAAGTTTATTGCATGTCACAATGTTTTACTGTAGTGATTTTCAATATTTTTTTGTGAAATTACTCCACTAGTTTGTTATAGTTTATTCATGCAAAGATCGAACACTCACAAAAAGTGCTTATTGCACATAGAAAATTTGTAAGGTTCGTTCCGTAGCTCAGTTGGGAGAGCGTCAGGCTTACAATTTAACAATTTTTCACATAGGGTAAAAAATTTTCGTAAATCATTATTTTTAACCAAATTAATTTTTTTTGTCTCTATCCGAATCGCATTTGAGAAATAATGTAAAGACAAGCATGATGTGCAGCTTTAGGAATCTCTTTACATATGGAACTAATGGGAATAACAAGATTAAATTTATTTCACTAGTTGCATGCATGGAACATTTAGGCTTTAATTGTTTGAACTACTGGGAACAAACCTATGCTGAAGGCGCAGGTTCAAGTCCAGCCAGATTGAAGGAATTTTTTTTAGTGTTATTCGTTGCATTAATAAATATTATATACCTTCTTCAGTGTAAAATAATTTTTCTTATTTTGTGGCCCGGTTATGCGGTTGAATTCAATGTTTGCGCAAGCCAAGTGGACTTATGTGTTATTTATAAACCGTAACATTTTTATTATATTTTTTACAAGCTGACTTACATAAAGTAGATAGTTAGTTATATAGATAATTTTATTATATATTTTATTATACATATGTATAGCTATTCTATCAACATGTATCTACACCGTTGTTAAAGTTAATTAATTAGAACCGTTACTGAGCAAGGATTAATGTTTTATTTGCAGTATTATACGATTATAGAAACGTGTTTACGTTTAAGACAAATATTGACCACGTTTGTGTTGTTCAAATATCTAATGTGAACATTAGGGGCACTTCAGTTTGCTAGTTATATAGGTATTTCTTGTATAAAACATTTTAGAACTCATGAAGATTGAAATATCTACAGATAGAAGGGGTGTGCCTTAGTGTTCGATCTTTGTGTTAATAAAGAAACTAGTAGAGTAATTAAAAAAAGAATATCATTGTAGTAAAACATCGTGGCATTCATTAAACTTAAAAATTACATTATTAAATTACATCTCTAGTCAGGCGCTGATAGCTGTAAAGGTATGTGGCTGAGTGAAGAAATAGATTTCTCACAGATGGCGCTATGGCAAAAAAGTCCTTAAAAACCAAATGAAGGTCGGCAATAAGCACATAGAACAATTCGCTAGGTCTGGTAGTTCGTTCTGTAGCCTGGTTGGAAGAACGTCTGGCATGGTATGCTTGAAGGAGCTGGTTTGCATCCAGTCGGTAACCTATCACAAACTCGAATTTGTTTTTTCCGAAATAACGTTTGTTCGAATTTTCATTGCCCGAAAACCGAATTCTAACGAAACTGTTGTTCTTTCAGAATATGTTGGATGTTTATCGCAAAGACACGATTAGGTTTGGTTAGGTTAGGTTAAGTCAGGTTTAAAAAACATTTTCCTCTCAAAACTTACTTTCGAGGTTATGAAAATTCGAGCAAACGTTATTTCTGGAAAAAGTCATTTCGGACTTCTGATAGATAGTCGTGGGGACCCAATCCAGTCGGATCGATGGAATTTTTCTTATTTTTCGATCTTTGTATTAATAATTATAACAAACTATTGGAATGATTTCACTAAAAATAATTAAATATCACGCTAGTAAAATATGACATTCAATGTGAAAAACACGTGACATTCAATTAACTTAAAAATTAAGATTGAAATAATCAAAAATGTCTTACATTGTTTTTGCATTAAATTGATTCAGTGAAAGTTACTGTGAAAGTAAGACGGTAGTGTTATATAAAAATACTTGCATATAGACATTTTTTCAGGTTTACAATTCGTCAGTTTTTGGTGTGTAATGTTACACCATTATTCCGACATTTAAATAATAAATAAACAAATAACACACGCACACTCTCAGATCATACAAATCTGAGCACACACTCATAGCCACGCACTAGGGAAATTACTATTACACACTAGGGGCAATGCTGACATTACTGCTTGGCGGCAGAAATAGGGAAGGTGGCAGTACTTCCCTGGATGAACTCTTTCACAAGGAGCTCTAATGGCACTGATTACTGATTTGGGAAGTCGATTTCAATGATTCTGATGTAGTTGGAAAGAAGGTACCTCAGTTGTAGTTTCATTCAAATTTGAAGATAATATTCCACCTCTAAGGGTAGCAAATTAGGGGATGAACCCAGTTTATTGGCTCTCATCCGCTTCCCGTTAACCAATTTCAATACAACTTGGCAAATAGATGTAATTCCACTAACTACTGTGATCAGTTTTTTAAAGTTATAATGTGCAACCTCTGCAATTTTTGTATATGAAGAAATCCTACTAAAAACCGTTCCTTTCGTTAGATTTACCAAAATTGTGTAGTGTATACTTCTATACGTTATGTGGTATATTTGAGAACGTTATTTTAGTATAAACTTTGATATGCTAATATGTCTGAATAATAGGGATATTCGACAACCATATAATCGGGGACATATACAAAGTAACGGAATTATAAGGGTATTCGACCCGAACACGGACATTCAACTTAAAGAGGAGGCGTACCGCATACCACGTTTTTGTGATAAGTACACTACATTAATCTTGTTCTACTTTTTACAACATCATTGTCATATGATACATGGGCATGTAAGCTATTGCGGTGACAATTACGTCTGACAATGGCAAAAAATAAATTGAGGATAAGTTGCGAACTAAACGATGATTCGATAAAGCAATTATCGTATAGTTAAATCCTAAACTTGCAACATATTTAACGTTTCATTTAATGTGCTGCATTATATAATCTTATTATTACGAAATGATTGGTTCCGAGTGAGGAATTGTAATTCACTTTTAATTAACTCACAAGATCGTATCTTTTTTATGCCACAAGAACGAATGAAAGAACAGGTAAGTGGAAGTTTCAAAAAGTAAGTCACATCCTGGTAGGCAGAAAGCCAAGAAAATTTGTCATGGGAGACCTCAAAATGTTTACTTTCGCCAAAAACAATGCTGTTGGGTCACGTACTCAGTTAATCGGGGCATATACCTACACGATTTATACACGGAAGGCCAATAAAAGTCAATTTACATAAACATGACATTCCTTGTGAGTACCTATTTGTTCGCAAATATTTTTTTTGCGTCGCGTCGTCGGTGATCTATGAAGTGTAAATCATGATTGTTCTATTACAAACAAATGCTTAGTATTTTGTTTGTCTATTATTCAACAGTATATTAGTGAACAAGCTCATTTACATATTTAACACAACAATTCAACACTAACATTGTATCTGTCAGTACTACTACAACATTTGTCTCAAACTAGGGAATACCTTTGCACCATAAGTTCTAGAACAACGACATTAACGGCGCGTGTACACGCTAAGAAATTTGTCGTGTCTGCAAAAAAAAAAAAGAAAATATTTTGTGTCTGTTGCAGATAAGAAAATGATGACTATGTACACGATACGAATTCTTTCGGGCAGACGTGTGTAGGTAGCTGTCCTATTACTACCGACTGTCAAAAGAAATAAAGAGGAAATAAAGAGGTTGGTCGTTTATTGACAATGCGCCCTATGCAATAGCGGCAGAGCGCGTCGCGTCGGGGGTAGACAAGATTTTTTTCTTGTGCGGCGCCGAGGCTGTGTACACAGTTTGTGTGTAGAAACGACACGAATTCTTTCATAGACCAGGCGACTTTTCTTAGCGTGTACACGCGCCGTAACTATACTACCCAGAACATCAAAACTAGAACCAGTCGGTCGATTCAGAACCTTACGATAATTCAGTTGTCGACCGATTCGGTTTGATATAATACGATTTCTTTTCATTTTTATGCACAGCACCTGAATCGAGCGTCAAACTGTCGTATTCGAAACCGAACCGAAATGACGTCACATCCGTATGATTATTCTTCTCGACCGGCAAAGGCCACAAACGTTATTCAGAACACAATTATCGAATGAAAGTTACCGAACGTCCTATTGTTTACAAAGCAAGAATATAATATGGAAATGTTTTATTATAGGAAATGAAAGTATTTTTCCGGATTTAAATCGCGTATATTTGTTTTTTCAAACAAACCGACGTTTCGGGCCCTTTACAGGTCCCATGGTCACGGTTGACACTCAGGACATTTCCTATGTGTAACAATCGCGAAAACCTAAGAACTCGAAATGTGTTATTATTTTAAATAAAGTCTGGATTTATATTAATTTATTTTAAAGCAAGACTAAGGCATATATTATATGTTAAGGCATATATTATATAGTATATATTAAAGCATATTTTAGGCCTTTTAAAGTCTTAAAAATGTATATAAAAGGATTTTCATTTTTTTATAATCTATTTCACCAATTAACTCCGTAAACGCTGCTGGATAAATATATCGAATCCGAATCCGAATCGCACGTTTAACTCGAATGTTCTGAATAGCTCGGAAAGCGCCCTTCGATTCGAGAACCAATCCAATCGAACGATTCGGTTAAAATATCGAAGAGTTCTGAATCCGGGCCCTGTTTAGAAAAGTACATTTCCCAATTTTTTTTTTATAATACCAAGTGACGGGACGAACAAAGTCGTGTGCCTGGTGGTAAGCGACACGCCTGTCCACAACAACGGCAGTGCCGCTCAGAGTTTTAAATCGCAAAGATCTGAGGGGCACTGTCACTGCGCCCGCCACCAAAGTCCCATGTGCCTGTAAATTCACCAGCATACTTATTCTTCATAACCGGAACGCAGTAATGCTCACATCACTGCTTAGCGGCAGAAATAGGTAAGGTGGCAGTACTTTCCTGGATGAATTCTTTCACAAGGAGGTCTACTGCTACCAAATTGGACATAACTGGGATCCATCTAGCGCCATGTTTCTTTAGATGTCCTCAAATTTCTGTAGATGGTGAATATGTAAATTAAATAATACTTTTTATACTTACTGAAAATTATACGAGTTGGGCATGTTGGCGGTTTCGTATTGTATCAATTGCGGCGGCGGTTGACTGTTGATGTTTGGGCTGGCTGCTGCAATATGCGCCAAGAGACACGTGTTCAAAACCTGGAATTTTAACCACATATTCTTCATTATCTTATTTTTACTGTACTATATAAAGTTAAACCTTCTTTGGATGAGTTTAGATTTTGTATTGTACTTTCTTCTACTTGAATTCCATTTTACTTCGATATAGGGTAAAAATTTACGTATAGTCAACCATTGATTTGTAACATTTGTTATTACAAGTTACAATCTTACAAAAGCATCTATGTAAGATTGGTAATAAATAATCTTAAAACAAGCTTCATAAATTACCTACTTTTCTAAATAGTGATATCATACCAAAACTGGACACAGGTGTATCAGTACCGTAAGCTTCCTTTCATTTTAAATATATTTATAATTGGAACTGGTTTAACCACATTTCTATCCAATGTCTAAATGTGCACTTGATCAGATTTTCTCCATAGCAATTTTTCATTTGCATATGGAAATATTTATGTTCAATTTAAGTAACTGAAAAAGGAAAAAGTTCAAATGTGTACAACTTTAAGAATAAAAATGGGCGTTAGAGGTTTGAACAAACTGCAATATGGGGGCGCAGATGAGGCAAAGGCCAAGCTAAAGACCAACGCTAGCACGCAAACAGGCAGTAGCCGGTTTCAACATCTTGACGACACCGTATAATCGAGGAGGAGGTCAACTGATTGCAAAGTTGGAAACGCATATCAACGCTGATTTTATATATTAATCCTGGTATTTACATTACATAGGTTACTCTGATCTCAAAATAAGTAACTAAAGCACTTGTGTTATAGAAATCGGAAACAACGACGGTACCACAAACACTCAGATTCAATACCTATAGAAAAGTTAGTTTTTTTTTGGACCTGGGACTTCAGACACCATGAAACCCGGCGGCGTACAAGACAATCGAACACGGAGATCGTAAATAAATATTTAATTGTAACTAAATTTATTGCACACCTTCTAATTGTTTTTCAGTATTTTCGAAAGGCATTATTAGGATATTTTTGAAAAATTAAAGTAAGGTAATAAAGTAAATCGAATTTGAGACTAATTACGTGTATATTTTATACACGTAATTAGTCTCAAACTTGGTATAATTTCACTCTATTACAGATTATTTACCAGTGCAAGCAGCATGATGTGTAGCGCGGAACAAGAGGACTGGTGACTTCCTGGACCGGCCGTAGTCCGAATGCGTCCGCAGTTTCGTAAGATCTCCTTTATATATAAGAAGTGTGATGTACTGCGCGGCAGCGGATACGCAGCGTCGTTGGACCTGAAACTGAACTCTCTGTGACCATTAACAAGTGACACATCAATGGAAGACCAAGTATGCATCACGGATTGCTGGAAACGTTCAAGCGCGAAACAATAGGTCCTAAATAGTCGCACAAATTGGTACTATTACTGTTAGAGAATGTATGTGTATTCATAAGAAGGAATAACATAAACCAGAAAAGGAAAATACCTTCGTGAAACCGTTCTTCAAAGTTGGAAACTATAACGCGTTCAAAAATTCTTTTTTATTTCATAATAAGTATAAATATTATGAAATCAATAATCACTAAAGACAACAGCACGTACGTCGCTCCGATCACAAAGTAAGTAACTAAAGAACACGTGTTATGGAAATCGGAAACAATGACTGTACCACAAACACCCAGACCCGAGACAATATATAGAAAAGTTAGTTTTTCTACATTGACCCGACCGGGGATCGAGCCAGGACCTCAGAGATGACACCATGAAAACCGGTGTGCAAGCCACTCGGCCACGGAGGTCGTCGATTTATATTTAAATTTTTTGCTTGACAATCTCAATATATCGAGTTCTTAGGTTTTCGCGATTGTTACATATAGGAAATGTAACTTTTCCAGGTGTCATGGTCATGGCCATGTTAACATGTAATTATGTAAAATAAATAGTTTAATCCCAGTATAATTTCTTATTTATCTATTAAATTTATCATGAGATTTTCGGTGAAGGAAAACATCACGATGAAACGCATGTCGAAGAACGTTCACAAATCTCGGTAAACGTGTAAAGTCGCCAACCCGCATTGGGCCAGCGCATCGTGGCGGACTATGCCATAAACCCTCCTCTGAAAGGAGATCCGTCACCAGCCGTAGGACGTATAAAAGGGTTGATGATGATGATGATAATTTCTTATACTTTGACATGTTGAGAAATAAATAATGTAATCTAATAACAAAATTTTAATATTAAGAAGACTTCGAACATAACAGTAACTGCTATTTTTTATAATAAATTAAGTATAAATCATATTTATAAAGATATTTTGGTGTCGTTGTCCTTTTTAAAACTTTTATAGTTTTAAACTTTTATAATACACGTCCGAATCACCAACTAGAGTATTCAAAATCGTCGTGGTATCTACATCCAACTTAAAGTACCTAAGTGCATAAACTTGATATCAATTGTGTTACATTGCTTTCGCTAGTCATCTGCCACGAATAGATTGTGCAAATATTTTCTTTTTTATCCGATTTCAAGGACATCAACCTCAGTTTCTGATTTTTATGAGCAGTACGTGTCTAGAATCAAGCTGACTACTTGACAGAACACAGCTTTTATTTAACACCTACCATGTATTGCGCCGCAGTGTAGCAATAGTCATGGTCATAGTGTAGAAAGAAAAAGTAATAATTTACCATAAATGCACTAGCATTAATTGCTAATAAGTAGAGTATAATCAATATTCTCCTCGATTAGCTACTTTTTTCTAATGGGAAGATTTTGTACTTTATTTTCGCGGTTATTATTAGCGAGATCTCGTGTATTTTGTGACCCAGTGTTTTTGACGACGTGCATTAAAGAGACCTATCAATACTTGTGATTCATTATCAAAGCTTCAAAAAAGCTAATTGAGTACAGCCTGTAGAAGCAGGGGGTTATAAACTTGATATAGGTTATGTTTATAGCATTGTCTTTTATTTCGATTCAGATGTTTGTTCGTAGTAGTCGAAAACAAGTTTTCAGTTCGTCCCTAAAAATAATAAAGAACTTCCTGAATATTCCTAAATCTGCCAAACTCTGCAACATTTACATGTTCTATTGCAATAAAAATGAATAATAATTAAATCTGCCCAAATAGCAGAAATCTGCCACAAATGGTCACACTGTTCTCAATCTCAAAGTGACATTGGTAAGAGGCCTCTTGTCAAAACGTTCCTTTGCTAACTTTCGTACTATCATTTAAATATTGTCTAAACATTTTTGTCACATAGCGTTTTATTTTTTACTTTATGTCAAATTTTGTTTTTTTCAATTTCAATTTTTTTTTTTTTTTTTATTTATTATGTCAATATCGTTATTTGATAAGGTATTTTATAGCTTTAATATATAATATTATAATAGATAGGTAAACATTCAATCATGCTTAAAATGAAACGTACGTACAAGAACGTTACCTAATCTTTGGTCGAACTGAATCAATTGCGTTGTGTTCTTGCATCTATTCTAAAATACATTGTTTTGCAATTTCTTTATTCCCGACTTCTAAAAATATACAAAAATATATTAGTAACTAGGCATAAACTAAAACGTAAAATTATATTAGCAAAGTCCATGAACGTCACTTCGTTGATTTTGAATCAGCTTTTGGAATCCTTCTTTAAGACATCTATTAGTGGTGGTATAAAAATCTGGCAAATAATTAGTGTATAATTATTATTATTTACTTTAGTCCTCTCAGCTTGTTAGATGGTTTGAACCATATTTACGAACCTAAGTCAAGTAAATGCAGTATGGCGTGTATCTACGAGTATGTGGTGGGTGTGTAATAAGATTATTATTATTATCATTATCGTTATCGTTGTCGTTGTCGTTGTCATTGTCGTTGTCGTTGTCGTTGTCGTTGTCGTTGTCGTTGTCGTTGTCATCATTATTATTATATATGAATTTTAATATATAGATTATTAAATACTACAATACTATTCGAATTGTACGGAAGTTGACTTTTATTAACATACATGTGTGTTTTTTGATGTTATGTTTCGTTTTTGAAATTTTGAAGCCATTATTTACGTTTTACCGGATTCTCTATAATATATAAACGAGAACTTCACAAAATGGTGCAGTTACAATGTTATAATTAAGGGCGCGTTCCCATTATATGACAGATAGTCGTGCAGTTTAAAGTGTTGTGCCTTGTATATTTAAATGAAGTTGTTCACACATAGAACAACACGATTAACTATCGTTCACTACTTTTTTGACGTTACGATGACAGACTGCCGTGACAATGGGAAGAGCTAGAATGACAGTCGTCAGACGATAAATATAACGTCACTATGAAAATATGACGACAGATAATCTCAACTATGAACGATTTTGTCGCGCAAAAAACAAGGCGGCTGCCACGGCTGGAACAGGCTAGACGCGACAGTCGTTCAACGATAAATAAAACGTTTCGACGTAATGGGAACGCGCCCTTATAGATTTTATGACGTCACATTTTATCACAAAACAAATTTTATAAACACCACTAACTTAAATTTTTATTGAATTGATATTCAATTACTTTTTGTGAAATTACTCCACTAGTTTGTTATAATTATTAATACAAAGATGATGGCCGGATCGAAGGAATTTTTTCTGAGTGTTCATCTTTGTATTAATAATTAACACTAACTTAAATTATCATTAATCGCTTGTTTAGTGGTATAGAGAATATTTTTTTTTAATTGTAAAAAGGCTGAGGTTTTTATGTTACTTATTTTTTACGATATTACTTGCTAAAAATTATAATCGTTTGTATGCTTTAACACGGTTCTTCGTGACTATCATACAATGAAGTCATAAAGTCATTTTGGGTGTGTATTTGGTTTGCATAAGTCAATATTTATCCTTAAAATGAAAATTGATTGGATATCATCTTGTTACTAATGAATTTTGTAAGTGATAAACTTAAAAATTATTATTCAGATACGTCGCTTCGTCTTCATTATCCACCAGAGCTGAAACAGCCGTTGCAAGATTGCCTGAAGTTGTTTTTTTGCAAAACTAACATACGTAAGCTTTGACAAAAACAAATTATTTACGTTCATTTTAGGAGCTGTAGAGCTTCTTGTGAAAGAGAGTTCGTCCAGGGAAGTACTGCCACCTTACCTATTTCTGCCGCCAAACAGTAATGTGAGCATTTCTGAGTTTTGGTTTTGAAGGGGGAGGGCGCTGGTGAAATTATAGGCACATGGGACTTTTCAGTTTATGTCTCAGAATGACGGGTGCAGTGGCAGTGCTCCTCAAATCTTTGAGATTTAAAGCTCTGAGGGGCACTGCAACTGTTATGGATAGGCGTGTCGCTTACCACCAGGTGCATGACGTGTTCGTCCCTTCACTTCGTAAAAAAAACCTAATGTTTTTCTCTAAACATTTGAAGGCCCATTAATTCATTTATGACTTCTTCTATTTTTTCTTGGGGTATACGAAAGGAGCCTTGCAGCACGACGTAGCATTCCCTTTCTGTAAGTCTGGCGCGTCTTGGACAACAATCGGTGGGTAACTTATACAGATTGGCAAATAATTCCACCACTGTGGCAAGCATTATATTGTACGCCAATAAGGTGTCATTGGCAGCATACATACCTAATATTTCATTGGATAATGTTACCAATAAATCTGAATAATATACTTTAGAATGTGTTTTGTAAAAACATTATTTTCCATACATGTAGCTAAGTAATTGAGTTATCGGAAATTGAATGATCTTTTTGCAACTCGAATGAGTTCTGTAGTGAAAGTTGTTTAGTGTAAAGACTACAGTTCATTTACTGGTGGTCTGGTGACTAGCACCGTCTAATTTTAAAAAAGTGTAATTAAAAGATTTATGTCCACTTGCACTAAACTTAAGTATGTCTTAAATCAACGCTTACAATGCAAAAGACACTCTAAATACATTGTGTTATGAGCGTCTTATCAATTTAGTGCAAGGGGACATTAGGCACAAATAGTAGACAAGAGGTAAACGCCGTAAGGAATTTCACATAATTTGCTTTTTTCTCATTAAGCAAAGCAGGTTAAGTACAAACAAATCTTAGAATATTACATTAGAAATAGCATTGTTCTAAGGTAGATTTTATTTGAGTTTTATTCTCGCGTTTATTTAAGAATAAATGAAATTTGTTTTCCTTTTCCATTGTGTTATTATAATTGTCACCTACTTTTCATAATGTTTGTTCTGTTCCACATCATCTATGCCCCGGCAATACACTTAACGCGTAGTGCGCGTAGTCTTTAAAAGATGACAATCTCTGTTACTTAGATTCTTTTCTTATCTTTTTAACCGATTTGAAAAAAGGAGGAGGTGCTCAGTTCGATTGTGTTTTTTTTTTGTATGTCTGGTACGCAATAACTCCGGTATTTGTGAACAGATTTTCATGATTCTTTTTTTGTTGGAAAGAGGGTACCCATAGTGGTCCCATTTCATTTTGAAGAAAATCATCCACCTCTAAGGGTGGCTGATCACGCATGAACATTTATTTTTATAAATAGCGCCTAAATTTTACTTTAGGAGCAATTATGTTAATGGTTGGTTTTGCTATTCTCCAATTCAAGGCGTTTTTCTCTCTCAATATACTTTGAGTAGTGAGAACCGGTTTTTATTATCTCCTGTGTCAAGTCCTGTATAGTGGCGAACTAGGGGACATTTCAATAACACTTGGCAAATAGATGTAATTCCACATAATTTTGAGGACGGTTTTTTAGTACTCTGTACTGAGATTATGTTCAGTATATTTTTTAAGTTTTGCAGTTACTATAGACTACCAGTAAGATTTCAAATGTCGATTATTATGAACGTAATTTTTTTTATGTAATACCAAGTGAGCGGCCGAATAAGTCGTGAGTCTGGTGGTAAGCGACACGCCTAACCATTACAGTTGCAGTGATGTTCAGAGCTTTAAATTGCAAAGATCTTGTGGGCACTGCCACTGCGCCAGTCATCCTGAGACGTAAGTTGACAAGTCCCATGTGCCTGTAATTTCACCGGCACCCTTACCATTCGAAACCGTAACGCAATAATGCTCGGTACGGCAGAAATAGGTAAGGTGGCAGTACTTTCCTGGACGAACCCCTTCACTGCTACTAAAAATTGTATAACAGATATGTTATTATTATGTTATTATTGTGTCCAGTCTTTTATTATACCTCCAGTTCATGTAATTTCGGTCGTAGTTTTTTACACTTTGTATGATTAATATATAGCATTCTTTGTGTAAATTATTTCTACAGATGAGTGCAATTGTCGAGGCGATTTTACTTGCCGTTACCATCAAAGTCATTAGACTGTGAATAAAAAGGAGTGACAAATTACCATTATGTGTGCCAATAATTTTATAACCAGAATCAGCTACTTACTTAAAACCAATTTTAGGTGCCAATTTAGAAGATGTGTCAATATCATTTAAACTGTTTCTATGGCTCAGACGATCGTGATGAGTGGAAGTAGTTGAAAGATCAAAAGGCTTTAATTTTCTTCTAACATATCTGTAATAATAATTACGCACTAAAGGCAATTCACAATCTTTACACCCAATTTTGGTTACCGTCCTAGCAATGATGCTACTATATTTGGAGAAAAACCGCTACGACCGGCTATGTCATCTTCTTCTGTAGTCTATAAAAAAATATTTAATTTATGATATTTGTCCAATAGTGTTCGTTAATGAAAATAAAATCCCAGTGAATACTTACATTAGAGTCATAAGACGCTGTTGTTGATGAGTAATCTATACTTTCTGTTGTTTCTGATTCGGTGGGCATTTTATATGTTCCTGTTGATTCGTCATCGGGTATTATTTCCGTACTCATAAAGTTGATATTCATAATGTCATCTTCATCAGTGAGAGAATTGAATTCGTCTTCTACCATTAGATTTCTGACGCTGTCTAAACTGAATCCGTCAGACCTGAAAAATATTGCGCGATTCATAATTTCATTGTAATTAACATTTTGCTTTGAATTTTTTTTCTGTTGTTTTTGCGTTGTTAGAAATTTCGGTGGGAGGAAGTCAACGAAGAACTAGTAGTCAATTGTCGATGTTCACATAAAAATTATTCATATATACCCTTCCCGGTAAAGATAATGGGACTGCAACTTAATACCCATAATCATTAAACTTACTCCGTCTTTGAAATGTACTTTTTATAAACAATAGCCTTACTTAAACAAGTAATATACTAAATCTCCCTTATACTGCAAAAATCGCATCGATCAAACGAATTGATTTGACGAGCGCTGTTTTAGGAACGGTACAATTATGGTTCTAAGTTTTATGTGTATGGTTTTGATGTCATTGTTGATGGCGTTTCCCCAAAATTACTTTACCGAATAACGAAAAATTTGGATGGTGATTAAGACGTTCTGTATAAAATGGTAAGGATAACGTAATTTCTTCCAGCCCAAACCTCGAGCTAATTGTTCGTAGTTTTTCGAAGTCTTGTATATTTTGAAAGATACCTACTATACAGGACTAAATTTTACGACAAAGGAAGTCTTTGTGAGACCACTCATATTTCGAAAAAGGCTTACAGAACTTTGGACAGGGTACCACTGAAAAACTACATTTATAACTATACTTTTCACAATAAATTGTACTTACTGAACATCGTCAGCTATAAGAAGATTTTCCAATCTGCCGTCTGCCTCAGGTACGTAAGGCGAATGCGTCACAATTTTAAATTCTAACGAACCGATCGTCTCCCGGTGAGGTAAAGTTGTAACGACTGTCAAAAGTTGAAATAGCGTCATGTGCGTCTGTAAAAATTATAACACTTTAGGACTGTTTTTTCGGAAGTATGTATATTGCGTAAGTATATATTTATATAGTTTATATAAGTATATAGGTTTTTCAAACAAACCAATGTTTCGGACCCTTTACAGGTCCTATGATAACGGCTGAAGTCAGTTATGGTTCCGGTTACTCGGTATTATAACATATTACTTTACAAATATACAAACATGGAACGTGCTTAACTGCAACCAGCATTTTCTTGCACAAAGTAATTACAAGCATTTTGGTTACATATGATGCATACCAATAAGCATTTAGGAAAATAAAAAAATATGTACAAGAAATCAAAGCTTATTACTTTCGTAATAATTAATGTGCGAGTATATTATCTGTACAATAATAATTAGATATATAATTATATTTCATCCTTTTTTCGAATGACTCTCGTGTCACACTTACCTTTTTTACAATGTGGATGTGCATATTGGTTTTGAATAGTTCTACTGTTGTCTTAAAATAATTCTGATTTCCAGACACACTAACAAGGCTAAACTACGGATCAAATTAGCGTTATAACCCACTGTGGTTTGATTTATGAATGTCGAGGAAACCTTCTAGGCTTTGGACTAATATCGTCGGAAAGATACTTGCGTTTTTGTACAATAATAATGACTACATCGTGAACTTTTTTTACAGTGTAGTTAATGAATGTATGTATTACGTATTTTGTGTATTTATATAATTTATTATGCATATTGTTATTATTTACTTTGTTATCCATTATAAGTACAGCGCGGCATGGAGAGTCACTATTATTTAATTTATCACCATGTATTTCATGTATCTACTGTGACCTATGTTGACGAATAAATAAATGTTAATTGAATTTAATTGTACAGTTATTGTTTAGAAGCAAGTACACTGTTATTTTAATTAATGAATAGAACACTAAAACAGCACAGATTTCATGTTTCAATAATCTGCAAGATTAATGACGTGTTTATCACGAGTCTTTGTTACCCCCTTTAAACTTTTGTAGATTATGAAAATCTACTGAGAAACTTTGAGACGTTTGCCACGTTTTTAAGCTACTCCTCGATCACTTTGCTGACCTCCTTGAGAAGAACGAGTAATAAAACTCTAGGGATTGCTCTTTTCAAATAAACTTAAATGCTATGGAATACAGTTTTAATCATAATTGTGTGGAATCTAGACCCATGTTGTCTTTCCACACATCATTATCTAATATATACTCTTCAATTTTGTAATATGACGTTTCAATTAAAATACTTTTAATGCAAGGTTTAAACTTAGGAAATGATAAACTTAATATGTTCTCCGGAACCTTAATGTAAAAACGTATACAGTTCCCCATAAAATAATCGTTTACCTTAGTTAAACGAAATCGTGGTACCATGGCGTCGTCTATAATTGTGGTCTGAGCACCTCAAGTAACGGGGCTAGGTCAGACACATACAAATTTACATAGCGCCTGACCCGAATTACAATTAGAAATTTTGTGGGAAGTTGAAATGATCTTCCTAAAGGTCAATCTTAGTTAAAACAACAAGTCAAACCTCCCTTGGTAGAGTAAATATGGTCGTCTTTGATAATGTAAAGGCATTCGACGGGCGATAGTCCATACAAAACTGCACACTACCATCCTTGTTGGCCACCATTACCACTAAACATGTCCACATAACGTGGTACGGCACGATACGGACATGATTACCTATTTCTGCCGCCAAGCAGCAATGTGAGCATTACTGCGTTTCGGTTTAGAAAGGTAAGGGTGCTGGTGAAACTAAAGGCACAACACTTGGGCACTTGTCAACTTATGTCTCAGGACGACGAGCGCAGTGGCAGTGCCCATAAGATTTAAAGCTCTGAATGGCACTGCAACTGTTATTGATAGGCGTGTCGCTTACCACCAGGCGCACGACGTGTTCGTCACTTGGTACCATAAAAATAAAGAAATAAAAAATCACAGGAATGTTGTTCCGTAAAGGGTGTAGTGGCTCTCTTTGCCTTAACAGTATCAGCGTTTTTCTGCAATAGAGCAACGAGGCGCAGTTTTTCCTCGGGTAGAACTAATTGTTTGTGGAATTACATACGACATTAATTTTTATTTCATTTGGTTCATACCTGTGGGTTATTCATAATTATGAAGAATCTACATTCTAGGATACTCCATATACCTATCCATAAAAAAATTGCAAACAAATTTTTAAACCACTAGATCGTTGTTGTCTCAATTTCCTGGGTTGAAATAGTATGTACTCTGTAATCAAGTAAAAATTATACGTTAAAGATCCAATTGGCTTAAAACAGTTTTTCAAAGAGTCATTCATATATCTTACAATCAGGAAATTGTACAAAAATGAATTTTACGGCTCACAGGTTAAAGATTTAAGTTTATTTAATACTTCTGGCTACACCTATGTGCTCAGAACTAAAAGGTAGTCAAGGAGACGGAAATCAGATAACTTTGGACATAGACTGTACTGTTATGAGTAAATGTGACTCAAACTCAAATCGACAAACTGCGTCATTGTCTAAATAGGTGCTCATTGCGTTGAGGAAAAACAACGATATTGTGACTGCCATGACTAAATTTATACCTAAGGCTCAACTCACACTGGCGCAGAGTCGAAGCGTTATCAATTAAATAATAATAAATAAATAACGCACACACTCAACAAAGCCCCGCACTAGGGAAACCCTGTGTCGCGGGTGCCATGGACACATACATAGACAACCACAAATTACACCCAAACTCACGAGAGAAACAATTGTAGGCCATACAACTGACCCGGGAATCGAACCTGGGACCTCTGCGTGGCAGTCCGGCATGGTAACCGTTCGGCCACGGAGGCAGTTTTTTTAATTTTTAATTTTTATTTTTTTAATTATTAGACACGTCTTATCCGAAAGAATAACAAGTACAATACCAAGGCGTGACAGAACGACTAGAGCTCTTTTGTTCCTAATTTTAAGTTCTGCGACAAAAACTCGACATTTTTAGTATTCACGGAAGATAGTGCCAGAAACATCACCCTACAGTTTCAATTATAGGGTGATGATGCTGGCACAATATTTTGAGGTGCCAATTCAACCCCTAAGATGGAATGACGACGGGAAAAAGCGATAGCTGAGTAATTATTAATAGTAATCAGATGATATGGGTGACAAAATCAAAGTTTCTACGTCTTCAACTGTCAATTTCCTAGTCTTGGACATGTCAAAAAAATTTTTGGTCACTCTACTAATACAAAGATTTGGTTCAATCCAAATAGTCTGATGTCGATCTGTGTACTAGTGTACTAGATGCGGCGTTCCATACATACACACATTGTGTTTCACTGATGTGCGGTTCCGTGCGGCAACACTTCATTTAGTTGGTTGTCAAACATTAAAAATAGCGAATGCAAATGCGGTCCTCTTTGAAAATTAATTTACTATTGAAATAATTGTGTTAACATAAATGGAAAGTTATAATTATTTACATTGATTCGGTAATTAACGTTGTGGTTTTTGATTAATTTGTGTATTAGAATATTTGATAATCGCGAAATACTAAGCAAAATTTTACACTATCCATCTCGTTTCCGCAAGCATGGAATGAAGTGTTAAAACAATACCAAACATAATATCATACATTTATAAGCAACAGAGTGTTCTGACCACACATAACAGAGTACGTATAATATGCATAAAACAGTTACTATAGGTAGTTACCGTATAAATTTAAAAAATATTAAAAAAGACTAGGCTGCATAGTCTAAATATCTTTGCCTATCTGCGAGAAAAAGTAAATGACATAACATTAATTTCACTCGACTGTAATTTTTTTCCATCGAGTATATATAATGTACTTGATGTTTTTTTCTTATATTTAACTTGTTTTATTCTTTAGTAATTCGTATTCTGTGTGTCGGTATTACAAAAATACTTTAAAAAATATCAGTTCAAAAACGGGAATAACCGTTCACTTTTGTTTTGGTTGTGTGCTGTATATTATACATATAATGACGCTAACACTATTTCACTCAACATTATCTTCCTGCCTAGCTCATTAATAACAGGTATAGACCGTCGCGTCTGTCCCCGGTATTGATACTCTTTGACAAATTCAACAATGAAACAAAACAATATATATCGTTATTGATAGTATTTTGTTTGGAACCTTAGAATAATAACGCATAGAAACCTAGTCCGCACACGCCAAGTGAGGCAAATTGAAACGCTCCCAAATTCCCATATCAACAATAAATATTAGTACAGTCAATTCGGGTAACTTTGAATCGTGGTGTAACTTTGAACGTAGTTGCGTAAAAGATTTCAAAATTTATTTTATGTATGGCGATCTTTTATTTTTAGTATTGAAACTGTGTAAATCGGAACAAAATTGTTAAACGAAAGTTATGAAAGAAAAAAGTAATGTTAAATCATCGATGTGTTAAATTGTATTTTTTTAAACTTTCGCGGTTTTTTCTTGGCGAAAGTAGTTTGGTGTGATTTGTTGCTCAGTTTTAGAATCGGAATTAAATATATAAATCTGAATATTGACTGGTAAGTTTTGGTTTCCACACTTAAGTAGAGGTTTATATATCGCTTTTTTAAAGAATAATTTAATTTTGTTTTGTATTTACGCGTAAAACGAATTAGATTTTGACGACGTTACCAAACAGAGAAATTTGGGTCACTTTGAATGTGTTTGACTGTGTTTTTAGAGAAGAGGGTAGTCTGTTTCCAGGGAGAGTTCTAAAAGTTACTCCTTTGGAAATTACTGTCTCAGTGCTCCAAAAATGCTTTTTAGGAGGTTGGTCTTGGCCTTCTAACGTTGAGACATGTCAAGTTAATAAAGCCGATATTGTGAATATTATAAAAGAGCAACAGCTATCTAGAAAAGGCGGCCGTATTTATATTGATGACGACATTTTATTCAAGGAGTGGGGTGAATAGATTTTTGTTATGTATTTACTTTGCCTAAAATAATTGTTATAGGTGATTCATTTTGATCTCGTTTGATAGCTAAATAAGCGTAGAATTTATTATTAAACAGAAAATTTTCATTTTTATTCGCATTAATTAAAAAATCTAAAAAGAAAACAAGTTTTTCATTTCAACTAAATTAGTTCGTCTCGTTTTATTATGGCAATACCAAGTCAAATGTCGTTTTTGAACGCACTGTCAGGAATATTTGGACAGATTCACATCTAAAAAATATGAATATGTCGTATAATCTAAAAAAACTGTAAAATATCTAGAAAATATACGGTTTCCATATCGAAGGCTAATCTTATTCAAAGTTACCCAAAATTCAAGGCAACTTTGAATGTGACTTTTGTAGCAAATCTAGAACAGTTTTGTTGAATAATTACTAAATTCCTTCTTATAAGAAAGAAAAAAGGGCTTAAAAGAACACTATTCAGTTAATAAAGTAATTGTTAAGAAACATAATTAAATTTGAAATTATTAGAAAAACGCAAAAAATGTTCAAAGTTACCCGAATTGACTGTAATTCCTTTTTATATATTAATT